CCTTCTTCCAACTCCCAGGGCAGAGTTAAAATGGTTTGAATTATTTTTTCTGGTTAGCGTTTTTTTGGCAAGTTAGATTTCAACGGAATGGGGCCGCCAACCCATGTCCAACCCTCCTCCTTTATCCGGGCTTGGGACCGGCAGTAGCCCCTAAGGTTCTACTGGCGGAGTTTGATTTTCGTTAGCAGAATAGGATATAGGCAAACATATAATTCTTATTGCAGTTGTTTAAGAATTTTCCCTCTAAATATATGCGGATCACATTTGCTTGTGGAGTTAGTGTCTATTGATGAAACGGTTAAATTCAAATATATCAGGATAAGAAGCGTTAAATGTTGGATTTACGAAGTACAAAATTCAAACGTGTGCGTTGCGGGGACGTTTTTCCAGTTTTTATCCTGGTACAATGAGGTTGAAAAGCAGTCCCTGGCAACTTAATCGTTTATAAAAAAATGTACATCTTTTTAATGGACTGATTAATTTCTTAACTTTTGTTTACGAGTTAATTATATTCTGGTTCACTAGTTTGTAAAAAGAAAAAAGGTTAATGGCGAAATACTGAGTTTCACTATGTATCTGACTACTCCTACTCTTAGTGAGATTAAACGTTGAATATTGGGGTTATTTAACGTTCATCAATTATGAGATAATTCTGTGAGGTACATTTTTGATCTTGATCTAATTATGTTAACACTAGATGTTGATAGATGTGTAGTTCTTCCGTATTTACATTGCTTAAGTTAGTTAATCGAGAAATTATTCTCTACAAGCTTTTTTAGTGTCCCTATTTTCATGATTTTTCGATTTCACTTATTAAACTGCTTTGCGATTTTGTAGATATTTCGTGGCCAGTAATGTTCTCGCAGACGCATCGTTTAATGCAACATATAGTTAATTATAACTAAGTATGTTTTTGTCTGAGCTTAAACGCTGCTTTTAGAACATAACATAGTTTATCTTGTAAAATGGTGCCAACATGTTCACGTTGTACCTCTTCCATCCAATGCAGAATATAAATTTCTACAATAAAGAAGCAGCTCGGTTTATTCTTCGTGTATTCGGTAGCCCTAATGTTGCTTCCTGGGGTCTCGCTGATGTAGGTATAGTATTGAGTCGTAGGGCAGAGCTAGCTCTCCTTGACTGGATCCCAGTAGATAGTCACTTGTGTGCCGTCCGTCTAAACGGGACAGTAAGGATTCGGAAAGATAGGGACACTCATCATTGCCTCTTCGTCGTATCTGCCTATGCCCCCACTGACTGCAGTTCAGACGAGGTTAAAGATGAGTTTTACATAAAGTTTCCGGACCTCCTCCAAAATGTTAGGCGCTCCAATGAAGTAATAATGGCTGGTGACTTTAATACTCAAGTAGGTAGACTAAGTGAGCAGGAGAGACACCTAGGTGGATGTTATGATGTCGCGGCTCAGAGAACAGACAATGGCGACCGTCTGTTGCAAGTATGCTCAGAAACCGGCTATTTCTAGCAAACACTAACTTTAGGCATAAGGAAAAACATCTTTTGATATGGCGACCCCCAAAGTCGTCTCAACGTTGGACCCAACCGATGGAGGGGTTCGATAGAAGACTGTCGCTCGTTGTGGGGCACATGTTTAGATTCAGATCATGTCCTAGTGCGAGCGCGTATTTGTGTGAGGCTTACTGGACGTAGGAAAGTGTTATGACCAACAGAAAGACACCATAAGAAAGCCTCTTAGGGTTGTACTTAATGATAATAATGCTAAGAAAATATTTCAGTAGCAACTAGAAAGAGAGTTAGGCGACCATCTAAGCGATTCCCATCCGGAAACAGGATGGAATGATATCAAAAAGGCTGTGGAAACAGCAGTGATATCTACTAATAAGGTAAACCATTAGGCTAGAATGAAGCCGTGGATCTCAGTAGCATCCACCGAAATGATGGATGCTGGAAAACTCATCCCACCTGGCTCTGAACATGATGAAGAACGAAGTCAACTTAGGCGCAGACTTATAAAAAGCCTACGTAACGACCGTGAACAGTGGTTGGTGGCGAAAGCAAAAGCGATGGAAAAGGCAGGGGCGGTAGGCAACAGTAGACAACTTTTCCGACTTATCAAGGAAACTGGTATTAGGAATCCTAGTGTAAGTGAGACTATCTCAGAAAATGACGGGACCATTATTTATTCTCAATCCAGGAGACTGGATCGATGGGCAGAACACTTGAGGATTCACTTCACCTGGCCTTCAGTCACACTTCGGTTACCCACGATCTCCAGTCATCCTGAATGGCAAGTCGACATAAGCCCTCCTAACCGTTATGAAGTTGAAAAGGCTATAGAAAATCTGAAGCGAGAGAGAGAGAGCAGCAGGACCTGATAGGTTGCCTCCCTAGATTTCTAAGGATGGTGGTCCAGCCTTAGCAGCTAAATTGACTGAGATCTTAGGTATAATCTGTGAATTGGGCGTAATCCCATCTTGCTGGTCCTAATACTTGACTGTCCCAATTTATATGAAAGGACAAAAGTCTTCTTGTGACAATCGCAGGTGACTCAGTCTAAATAGGGTAGTTTCTAAATTGTTAGCCTCGATAATATGTAGACGCTTTACTAGAGCTCGTGAAGAGCAGACTCGAGAAAACCAGGCTGGTTTCATACCTGGACGTGGTTGTATAGACCACATCTTCACACTACGAAATGTCCTGAAACACAGACACACATGTAGGCGTCCTATTATAGTTGTCTTCTCGGACCTAAAGGCGGCATTTGACTCTGTTGATCGTGAGGTTCTGTGGCAGTGTCTGTCATTGAAAGGTGTACCAGAGAAGTGCATTAACCTCATACAAGCTCTCTACTCGAACACCACTGGTCGAGTATGAGCATATGGCGAACTCGGAATAGATTACTTCAAGTGGAGTCCGTCAGGGATGTCCACTTCTCCATTCTTGTTTATTTTTGTCATAGACATGCTGCTAGGTATAACATTATCTTCGTCCAACTTTTCAGGAGTCGACTTTCTACCAGGAAAATCGCTCGCTGACGTGCCGATTACAAAGTTCTATTCGGTGAAGACGCTAACAAAATGCAGAGTCTTGTGACTACCCTAAGCAACAATGCAAGCATGTTCGGGATGCGGTTTTCCCCCTCGAAATGCAAAATGTTTCATCAAGACTGGGTTGCATCAGTACCTGAACTAGTGATAGGGAGTGAAGTAGTCGAACGTGTAGACCGCTTCACTTATCTGGGGAGTCTCATCATTGCCGATGGCCTGGTGACTGACGGAATCTCAGCATGGATACAGAAGGCTCGATTGGCTTTTGCCAACCTGCGTCACTTATGGCGTAGGCGAGATATCTGTTTGCTAACCAAAGGAAGAGTGTACCGTGCAGCAGTTCGCCTCGTCCTACTATACGGATGCGAAACATGGCCGTTAGGAGTGAAGGACTTTCGTAGGTTACCAATCTTCGATCGTCGGTGTCTCCGAAGCATTGCTCGTGTCAATCAGTCAGTCAGTTGCAACGTAGAACTTCGTACGTAAGTACATCAGTCCATGTCGCCATACCACATCAGCACAGAGATGTAATTGTCAATTCAAATCCAATACTAGAAGAGGTAGTAAAGGTATTAGGAGTAATCGGAGAGGTTAGGATGAGAAGATATTATTCAATAAGTATGATTAACTGAGAAAAGTTTAGAAAGTAAAAACTAGAGGTGTTGAAGAACCCAGAAGATTAGGATTTGAGAGAACACAAAGAATAAATGCACCGGCGCCATTGCGAACGATTTTGAGCCATGTCATTCAAGGTCTCTAGCCATCGATTATTATCATCTCGCGGACCCCAACCAGGTAGTCGACAATTACCGACATGGCTAAGTCCACTCGTCAATGACTTCATGGATTGCTGCCATGTTTTGGTTTGGCCGCCCCTAGCTTTCTTCCAACCTATTCCTACACTACAAAACAAGGCTCGACGAGGCAGTCGGTGGTTGGGCATACGCAACACATGTCCCAACCACCTCAACTGATGAAGTTGCACCACTTCATCTATTGCTCTGCCATTCTTAACTAGCACCCGATTACTAATAACAGTGTTGCTCACTCGGGTGTCCCACGATATACGAGCAATGCTTCGAAGACACCTATGATCGTAAACCAGTAACCTACGAATATCTTCTACTCTCACTGGCCATGTTTCACAGCCATAAAGTAAGACGGAGCGAACTGCTGCACAGTACACTCGTCCTTTAGTCAGCAAACGGATATCTCGCCGACGCCATAAGTGACGCAGGTTGGCAAAAGCCAATCGAGCCTTCTGTATCCATGCTGAGATTCCGTCAGTCACCAGGCCATCGGCAATGATGAGACTCCCCAGATAAGTGAAGCGGTCTACACGTTCGACTACTTCACTCCCTATCACTAGTTCAGGTGCCAATGCAACCCAGTCTTGATGAAACATTTTGCATTTCGAGGGGGAAAACCGCATCCCGAACATGCTTGCATTGTTGCTTAGGGTAGTCAGAAGACTCTGCATTTTGTCAATTTCTTCACCGAATAGAACTATGTCATCGGCACATTCTAAGTCAGTAAGCGATTTTCCTAGTAGAAAGTCAACCTCTAAAAAATTTGACGAGCTTAATGTTAAATCTAAGAGGATGACTGCGACAAAGTTAAACAAGAATGGAGAGAGATGACAGCCCTGACGGACTCCACTTGATGTATAGAATTCAGATGACAGTTCGCCGTATGCTCTCACTCGACCAGTGGTGTTCGAGTAGAGAGCTTGTATAAGGTTGATGTACTTCTCTGGTACACCTTTCAATGACAGACACTGCCACAGAACCTCACGATCAACAGAGTCAAATGCCGCCTTTAGGTCCAAGAAGACAACTATAATAGGACGCCTACATGTGTGTCTGTGTTTCGTAGTGTGAAGATGTGGTCTATACAACCACGTCCAGGTCTGAAACCAGCCTGATTTTCTTGAGTCTGCTCTTCACGAGCTTTCGTTAAGCGTCGAAGTATTACTGAGGCCAATATTTTAGATACTATATTAGTTAGACTTATTCCCCTGTGATTGTCACAAGGAGAATTCTGTCCTTTCTTATAGATTGGGACAATCAGTGATTGAGACCAGTCAGATTGGATTACATCCAGTTTCCAGATTCTACCTGAGATTTCGGTCAACCTAGTTGCTAAAGCTGGACCACCATCCTTAAATATCTCAGGGGTCAGTCTATCAGGACCCGCAGCTCGCCCTGGCTTCAGATTTTTTAACGCTTTCTCAACTTCATTAAGACTAGGGGTACTTTCGTCGATTTGCCATTCAGGATGACTGGAGATCGTGGGTAACCGAAGTGTGACTGAAGGCCAGGTGAAGTGAATCCTCAAGTGTTCTGCCCATCGATCCAGTCTCCTGGATTGAGAATAAATAATGGTCCCGTCATTTTCTGAGATAGTCTCACTTACACTAGGATTCCTAATACCAGTTTCCTTGATAAGTCGGAAAAGTTGTCTACTGTTGCCTACCGCCGCTGCCTTTTCCATCGCTTTTGCTTTCGCCACCAACCACTGTTCACGGTCGTTACGTAGGCTTTTTATAAGTCTGCGCCTAAGTTGACTTCGTTCTTCATCATGTTCAGAGCCAGGTGGGATGAGTTTTCCAGCATCCATCATTTCGGTGGATGCTACTGAGATCCACGGCTTCATTCTAGCCTAATGGTTTACCTTATCAGTAGATATCACTGCTGTTTCCACAGCCTTTTTGATATCATTCCATCCTGTTTCCGGATGGGAATCGCTTAGATGGTCGCCTAACTCTCTTTCTAGTTGTTCCTGATATATAGGTTTCGCCTTATAAACATTAAGTAAAACCCTAAGAGGCTTTCTTATGGCGTCTTTCCTACGCCCAGTAAGCTTGAAACAAATACGCGCTCGCACTAGGACATGATCTGAATCTAGACATGTGCCCCACAAGGAGCGACAGTCTTCTATCGAACCCCTCCATCGGTGGCTGATGGCGATGTGATCTAGTTGGGTCCAACGTTGAGACGACTTTGGAGGTCGCCAGGTCAACAGATGCTTTTCCTTATGCCTAAAGTTAGTGTTTGCTAAGAATAGGCAGTTGTCTGAGCATTGCTTGTGTATCCTGGGACAACCGTATAAGTAATTCTGTCGTTAGGAAACGAGTTCTAGGTAAGGATGGCAAATCAATAGATGAAGCAATGAAACTTCTTCAGTTAAGGTGGTTGGGACATGTGTTACGTATGCCTAACCACCGACTTCCTCGACGAGCTATGTTTTGTGGTGTAGGAGTAGGTTGGAAGAAAGTTAATGGCAGCCAAACCAAAACATGGCAGAAATGCATGAAGTCACTGACAAGTGGACTGAGTCATGTTGGTGGATGTGGGCTATCTGGTTTGGGTCCGCGAGACGAAAGTCACCAATGGTTAGAGACCTTGAACGACGTGGGTCAAAATCGTTTGCAATGGCGCAGGTGCATCCACTCTTTATGTGCTTTTTAATTCTAACCTTCTGAATTCCTCATTATCTCTATCTTTCTCCTTCTAAATTTATCTCACTGAATTATACTTTTCGAATCATATCTTTGCTCCCTAATCTTCTCCATTGCTGCTAATAATTCTACTATCGCTATCACTCTTGGGTTTGAACTGACAGTTACGTCTCTGTGCTGATGTTGTATAGTAACCTGAAATGATGTACTTACGTACGAAGTTCTGCGTTGTATCTGTCTCTGTCTGGTAACCTGAACTGATGTACGTGCGTACGAAGTTCGACGTGGTAACTGATTGACAGACCACTGGCTTAACACCTTTTAGATAAAACCACGATATATAGGATGTTAAAATACAATAAAAACTATATATTGAATTGTACATCATTTATTTTTTATCACAATAAAACAGTACTGACACTCCATTTCCACCAGGAACGAGTCAATAATAAACTCGTAATTTTTTTTGTTCTATAAAAAATGGTAATCCTGCTAAAAGCGTTATGTTTATCTTTTCGAAATTTGAAAAGTGTACAAACCACGCAACAATTTTTCATCTATATTTTAAATCTGCTAGACATATGAATGTAGCTTACTAAGTATCTGCTATCGTACCTGAAACGTCACACCCTTTATTTTTATCTGTGTAACATTCATCCTTATCTAATCGGTAATGTATTGCTAATCCTATAATTCATATATATGTCCTATAGTATCTTTCTCACTGGGCTGATATCTTCATTCCATGTATGGCTTACATAATACTAGATTTGTATTCGAGACGGTAAGACGATTTAGGTAGTTAGAGTATAATATACTACTATAACTTAGATTTGAGTGAAAATTTGATGTTATTAACTAGTTAACTATCTAACATGACAGTTATTAGCGAATAGATGTATCCTAAATTGATTGTATTAGTGATTCGAATCTTCCAACTGATGATTAGGATTAGAATCGATCAATCTGTTTTGGTGTATATGCATTTTGTGCAGATTGTCTTTGGGTCGCAAGCAATCGTGTATGTGGGACTAGTGGTCAAGTTCGATTAGTAAGTTACTAGGTGTGAAAAACGAACAATAAAAATTGCCTTGCTATTCGGTAGATTAATCTTTATCTTTGTAGCCAGTATTTGTCGTGCTTTGCAATTAACTTTAATCGACTTGATACCCAATTTTATTGTGTAACGATGACTAGCTTGATTAGGACATACATATGTGCGCTTTCTATTATCCTATGTGATAGTGCTTATGAATTCACAACTTCAGAATCTAAAAATGGAATTGATTGGACACTACTGCTCTTTTATATCTTATCTGTTTTTGGATATTTCAGAATAACTTCAATCGGTTATTAAGCGATTGTTTCTTTGATGTCTGTATGTTGTTCGAATTTCTAGCTGTAGTTGGTGTCATTTACAATATTTGTTTTGCTGTTTGTAAACTGCAATCGAATTAATTATATATCTATTACTCAGCTTTGTATCAAAATTGTTATAGTTATGTTCCCGTTGAAAGTCATCTCTTATTTGTGGATTGTGGACTTACGTATTAGTAAAAGTTCATTATATAGAAATGTTTGTGACCATTCATCTGCCACCCTGATATGCTCATTGTCGATTTTGGAACAGTTGGATGTTCACGGCCTATCAATCGCGGACAAGTACGATAACAGTGTTTTTGGGCTTGTATTCAGCCACATAAGCAAGATTATAACCGTTCAACGTTAGGTGTGAAAGGACATAACTTCGCGGCCATTAGTATTCCGTTAACTAAAAAGCTGGATGATTTAAATGAGTTTAGATCTTACTAACTATTGAGTCCTGAGCACAAATGACAAAGTGACTAGTGGGGTAACATGCAGTTTACTGACTTATCCTAATTGAATTGTAGTTTCTTCCCAATTTCATAAAAATCAAGTGTTTGTTACTTGGTCTTCATAATCAGTAAATACAGGCTATAAATTTGTGTAGATGCATACAGTTTTGTGCATATCTCTATAAATGATAAAAGTCTTGGCTCTCGAAATTTCCATAATAGTTTTTTTGATTTCAGGATCAACTTCCGCTTTTTGTTTACTGTTCATTACTTTGTTTAGATAACTTAACATCGAATTTGGTCGGTGCAACTTCTTTTCGATTGTATATTTTATATGAATGAATTATAATGTATTCTGCCTTTCTACCGATTCGTTTATTGAGCGACTATCCATATCCACTGGAATGTCTAACATGTTATGACAATTTTCTACTGGTTGGTACAAAACAAGGATTATTACTGGTCTATGAATTAACACCGAAAATAACCAGTCATCCTGAATTTTTCATCCCGAATTTAACTTGCTTGAATAACCATTTGAAAGAAATTCCATTCAAGAATGAAATTCAACCTGATACTGTATCATCATCCTCCACTTTGCCCACTTTTTTTACACATGTGAAAATTACACGGACGCTTGGAAAAAAGCCGATCACACAACTTACAGCTATTCCTGAATTTGATCTACTATTAGCACTTGCTGAAGGTCGTATGAGTGTATATCAGCTTCAAAATTGCCAACTTATTACATCAGTACCGAATAGTAAAGGTTCTGGATTATTTACCCACTGTATACAATATTCAAGGGTATCATCTTCATGCAACAGAGCAGGTATTCATAATTTTCCTAAGTCTACAAATATGTTAAAAAATGTTTTGTTAAATTACTTAGCTTTATCTTGCTTTTTAGTTAGGTAACGTTCATTTATCAGTGTATGTATGCATACAGTGACCCAATTTTTTTCGAATTCACTGATTCAAGTGCCGTTAGTTCAAAGAATTCCGGTAGATCTTGTGCTTTTACAGCTTCCTTAATTTTGTAGTTGTTCTTTTTTAGTCACTCTCACTTGTTCCGACTCAATTTTAAAAATATTTGACTAATATACGTATTTCACTACCTTTAGTTTACTAAGCAATTATAGAGTTACACTGTCATTGTAGAACCGTTTAGTATGCTAGAGCTAATGATACTATTAGGTTCCCCTGAGTTGTTCTCTTTAACAATAGGACGCGACAAAATGGTTAAATCACTCTTTTTAACCCTGTGATTTCTGTGAGTGTGATCTCCGTTTTACTCAGTGTGGTAACTGCTGTTTGTTTTGTTTTCTGCATGACAGTTTGTATAATATTGACTTCTCTCAGTGTAACACTTACTCAGAACAGTTCAGTATTAACTTCATCTATTATGTTATACAGAATGTTTTTCGTAGTAATTCTTTGTATTTCCTCTACATAAGATATCTGTTAATTATTTATCAAACGTTATTAAAATCGTTAAGTAAATGAGTGTTTTGTTAAATTACCGTTTACTTGTTTTTGAGGTCGTCAATAAAATATTTTTCTATATCAGTTTTCCTATATCTGTTTGCGTTGTCGAAATTGCAATGGCTTCCGGTATAAAATATTACACGAGTACTCTCGCGGTTTCTGCAGTTAGTTTAATGAAGACCAAAGCTATAGGAATTTATTTACACATAAAACAATTCGTCAATTTGAAAATATGAATAGTTTAGCCAATAGTGCAGTGAATGGTGAATTACTACTCTATGGTTACTAACTGCTTCAAACTGTAATTATGAGCAATAGCCTAGTAATTCGAACACTAGAAATTCGCTCACTTTGTCTCATGTTCGGACCCTGTACCATTTACTTTGGTTTAGATAGCTTGATGATATCGTTCGCTTTCACACAAAACTCGTGGTTCACGATCAATTGCACAAATGTTTAAGTAGTTTCCCAGTTCTGTATTATTATCTTATTATTTGTCTTGTTCACTACCTTGAAAATTGTAAAATACCTAATTTAAAATCAAGTTTAATGAAGCTTGAAGTCTTTCTAAATCATACTTTAATGTAATATAATTACTCCATTCTGATTAACGTCGTCATCATCTGGACAGTTGATGAACTCCTTTGGTTTTAACTTACATTCAATTTCAGTTGGTACATGAATAGTAAAGCTTCTATTACACTTCAAAGTTAACCTCTTCTAGTATTGTCGTTATTTCCCACTATATTCATTCTACCGGATAATCTTATTCAATTACCACACCGTACTTCTAATGATAGAACCTATTCAGAACTTTAATGTCGTTGATTTGACATTGGTTATTTCCGGTTACCACTGAATGTTATTACTTTAAAGTTCTACTAACCATTACTCAAAATGATTTGATTATACCTTAAAACAAAAAACAGCCTTTTCAAGTTTATATTAGTTTTTAAACTAGTCTCTATGTTTCTTTCATCATATAATCTATTAAGAGCTCAATAACTTTTAACTAAATTGGTACGAAACAGGTGCCATAGATTCAACAAATAAACTAATGTAAATAGGTCATAATTTTATTATGATAAAATATTTGAAATACTCTTTGCGGCATTAGGCATCGTAATAGTGTTTAACACCGATATATTTAAAAGTCACTCTTGATATTTTAAGTTTACCAATCAAAAATTTAATATATAGTCAGTGAATTCTAGCTAAATACTTGGACTGTGGAACCCAGTATTATCAGCTTTAAACACTATCACGTTATCCACTTATCTATGAAATTAAGTATTTTTTTTCTAATAATACAATAACCAATAAGCATATTTGAAGTGTTTAAATGTAGCAAGATAACTCGTCTAATTACTTATTGCTATATTTATTGATTTATTTCTGTTTGTAATAACGTTTATATAGAACGTTGAGAATCCTATATCATAGAATCTGTAAATATGTAAGAAAAAATCTACCATTTAACAGATTCTAACGAGTCATATACAGTGAATATCGCGAGATAAATGACATAAATTATTTGACTTTGTTATTTAATCATGTCTGATTTCCTACTATGTTTTTATTAATGTTAATTTCAAAGCAATTTTTTTTAACTTCTCAAGTATTTAAGACTACAGACTACATAAAATATAACGTACAGCTTATCAATTCTAAATAAGTTATCATAAGGTTTGAATGATACCTAAATGCATTTGTTTGTACGATTAGTTAATCAACATATTATACATATGTTTTTTGTTTAAATAGACAATCCATTATCATCATCATCATCTGAAACTATTCTAAGTGAGTCGAAAATTGCTCAACACTCAAAATCAAATTCGTTAGAATTACGAATTTGTGTTGTTGTAAAACGTCATTTATACTTTTGGCGATGGAATCCTAAAACACGAGAATTTTTATGCCCCGGAGGATCAGATGATCTACTCACACCTTCGTGGCCAAATGAAATGACCATTCCAGAAGTTGTTCGATCAATTTCATTTTGTGGACTATCGAAACTTATTGTAGGACATCGAGGTGAATATTTATTAATCAACATTATAAGTGGTGAGGTATGTTTATATTGTAAGTTAGTTAATTCACTAATTGTTAAGTTTTATCATTTCATACAGACAAAGTTATTACTAAAGAAATTGTGGATAGCCTAAGCAAGATTCTTATCGTTACTTTTAGTGTTGATTGCAAATCAGTATCACCTAGAGAGCTAATTCTCTACTAATGAGCACTTAAAACCCTCAAAAATAAAATGCATGTCTTGTATCGAGTATGTTACCATTTAAAACTACTCAGCTGTTGTTAATCAGGTTATATTTCTCAAATTCAATCATGTTGTGAGATGGTACAATCATGATCCAAAATCATTAATAGGCTAACATCTCATTCGTTGATTGGTTGATTTCACAAGTTATGGTTTCTCACTGAAAGTTTGAGAAATTCATTTCAAAACTGTCCATAAGTAAACATCTGATGATTATATCACTAGTTGGTGGGTTTCCGATGAGACCTTGTTGTACATTTTAAGATTGCACCACTAACTATAATGTGTGTAGCGCATACGTATTTAAGTGCTGTAATGCTTTTGTGTTCAAATTATTATTACGACTAAACACTATTGTTCTCTGAGTTTTAATTAAGTCTCATCTATGTGCAATAATTTTTAAGAGATGAAAATATTGTGTTAAACAGCAATTTCTAACTAATTGAATATTCTTCCGTTGTATCAATTATGTGTTTCTATCACAACAATAAGATGATTTCTCTTGAGTTAATACAGCAATTCTTTTAATCTCAGTAAAAGGAATAAAACTTTGAATGTATATGTTGATTGTTAATAATGTTTACAATAATTTATCATCATATCGGACATTGTTCATAGATAGATAACCCATTAATTAATGCATTAAATTGTGTGATTCAAATTTTTTTATTTTGACACTTGTAATAATTATGGAATATGATAATTTGAAATGTTTACTCGGTCATCCAAGTGATTGTGTTGAATAACTTTATAGAACTATCACTGGGGTTGTATAAATATCAAAAAAAAACTAGACCGATTAACTAACTTTCACTTGTTACTATCATTCCATTAACAGAAGTTCCATAATCTTGCATTATGAAATGAAAGACCAAATTACTCGTAATTTAGCTTGTGTAAAACTTTCACCAGGATAAATATTCTCAATGGTTATTTTGTGGTTCAGGTGACTGGCTTAACATATATCAATCATTGGCTTTTACGAATAAAATTGTCCAATAGTTATAAGAATGCTTATCAATATCATTATTATTACTATGATTATCACTTATATATCAGCTCTATTACGATGATCAGATTAATAAAAGTCTTAACACTGGTTAGTATTCGTCAACTAACTTTAGTTTATTTGTCTGTCCAAGAAATGAACAAATAATCATTACAAATAAATATAAGTTATCAAGTCTCAAGTCCGAAATCAATTGAAATAGATGGAGTCAGTCTTTTTGTTTTTGTAAAGAAAGCATAAGTAGCTTTTTAATATTTAGTTACGATTTTGCTGTTTTAAACAGACCATTGTCGTTTTAAGGTTGTTTTTTTGTTTAAGTTATCAATGATCGTCATATAATTTCAAATAATGAATGAAATAATCCACTTTATAGTAATAAAATTAAAAACCTATGACATTTAAATGGATCGGCCGTAAAAATTTCTTGTTAGTAGATGTGAATGGTCTCATAGAAAGATGAAAATCTGATTAGATTTATAAATTAATTGCAATTTATTGAATTGCGAAGCATGAATATTAACCCATTGAAGTTTAGCTCAGTAATATTTTATCGATCTGCAATTACAATAATGTATAGGAAAATCTTACAGTTTTCTTATGTATTATACGATGCGGACAGTTTGGAGCTACCGTCAGTGTCATTTTTCAAAATAAAATATTTCTTAAATTATCATTTCGAAAAAATTTAAAACCACACATGAAATTGATTGTTTAAACCACTGAAAGTCACATTCTTAGTAGTTGTTTCTCAACACAATAACAAAGTATTCTTTAAGTACCCTAGGATTTGTCATCGTGTCATCATTAGCGACGGCAATAGCCATTCATATACGTTGGTGTGTTTTCGTGTCGTCCTAATTGTTGTTAGGAGCTCATTGTAGAGAATAATGTAGTGGTGAGATTCTGGTTTATTAATTACCTTCCTTTTTTGTTTCACTATAGTGACACCATACATAATACTGTCAATCGTGGGGTACTGGATAAACCAATAGTTAACGTACATTTCTAGTTTAAATTTAGATCTAAATGAGTAAAAATTCACAGTGTTCATATCGCGCTACTGAAATAAGGAAATAAATTTTGTTTAGTGAAGAATATCAAACTACTTTTATCACAAAGTAGCGTCATTTCATTCAAATAAAAATAAAAGCAAAACTGCTTAAATAAATCGCCATCGTGATATTGAACCTCGTTAAAACTACTCAATCATTGTCTAAAATCTTACATATGAATAGTTTTTCTTGCATTAATAACACGTTAAAATTAGGTTATAAATGAGATTTTCATTTTACAATCAGGAAAGACATGATGAAAATAGCTGACTCATACATAATACAATCCAACAAAAAATTCTAATGACAAAAAGTAGTTAAGAAATAGTGTATGATACATACTGATTCGAAGTAAGTCCCCAAATGCCTTGGTCCGACCGGGAGTAAGGAGATTCCCCTCCCCCTCGAAACGTTTTCAATCGACCATGCGTATGTAGCCGCCACCTCCAGGGAAGTCTTACCCACCCCCTTTTTGCTACAGGGATGCTGTTAACGAAATTAACAGGACCGAAAGTGAATGTCCGGTGCTTAAACCAACTTAGTGGTTACCGAAGATCCATCTGATTCCAAACCGATGATGCATATTGACTCCAGGATCATGAAGGAACAAATGTCGTTTAAACCTATCGTTGATCACCGGCTACTATGGAACCACATGTTCTAATGTTACTCCACTGCCTTGTAAATTAAACCTATGAATGAAACTTTCAGATAAAGGCCTTCCAAGAAAAATACCTGCCTCAGTTTAGGAACCTGGTCATCATGTCAATCAATCTAAAACCTCAATCATGTGTGTGGCAAGTAGACACTTAGGTGCCCCTTCGTACCAATGTTTATGTTTTACTAAATAAAAAAGGTAACTAATGAATATCAAGATATACTGGATAGTTGTGTAATTGCAGTATAAGTCTCTTTATCAAAGTAGAAGTATAAATGGCCAGCATTATCTTTAAAAATCCAATATACTGTGTAACCACCTCTCATTCAAATAATAAATAACCGAATAAAATATCTTTATACTAGATTATGATTATAATGATCTTTTTCTACTCCCTAAAATTTGGCTTAAATTTTTATCGTCAAATTCTAACCTTTCAATTTTGAATTTTCTTCTAATATACAGAGAGTTTTTAAGATGTTACCACACAGGTAGGTGTGTATAAAGCTAGAATTACTTAACTTTTGAGAGTAAACACATTGACATTCGACGATATTGAATTAATTCATTATAGATTTCACATACTGTGCTTTCAGTCATTTTGTTTGTTTTATAGGTTGAACTTGTTGAAACAACATTAAATTTGGCTTGATTTTATCCTAAAGCTTATTGATTTGGATGTAATTGTTTAAATCATTACTAGTTCACTTGAACTTGTACCACAACTATACCATTGAAAACTGAATAAAATTAATTTAACTTAAACAACCGTGAATGGTAGAAGCGATTCGCACCAACACCTGGCTAATTGGAAAAATGATAATCCACTTTTAAAGAGTTCTACTTTTGATTTCTCCTTATTTTGACATTAAACTTCACTTGTGATGCTGTCAGATTGACTCACTAAAAATTCTCACCAATCAGTAACCTGTTAGCCAGATACGTGTTTTAAATCACTAAAACAAATATCTTTGATTATCTTAATTGTTTTCCATTATAACATATAGTAAAAGTGTGTCATACTGATGAGCTTCGGTAAACTAAACGTGTTATAATTCTCTCTTTATTACAACCCAGCTATTCTTAATGCTTAGTATTCTCGGACACCGATTCACTCGAGACATTCTCCCAAATCAGAACGCGGTTGAACAGGAAATAGATTATATTTTAATAACAAAGTTGAATGTAAGACAGAAGGTCCAAAGGAAAAAGAGGTTAGTGTGCTTATAGTTTTCTTACATGAGTAGATTCTAGAATGTTCCCTGAGTATCGGCTAGTGCTGAGTGGATACGAAAAAGCCGATCAGCGTGCAACAACACAATCATGCTTTCATCCAATCTATGTCCGAGTAATAAATCGGAATTAAGGAAATTTGAAAGTTCAATGAAGAATAGGTTGCATATTGTTATGAACTAGGTGAAAATTGGCAATATTCGGTTCTTAAGATGCTTATAATTGATAAAAATTTCTAATATACAAATGAACAATAAATATAACACTGTGTTTAAGCTAAATCACGCGAAGTATCCACTGATTTACAGATTATGTTACAGTGTTTAGTGATATTCCAAGCCTAATCAAGCGGGCTTTGTGTAACTTATTTATGATTCTCCGACTAATAACTGTCAACTCTAAATCTCAACTTTAACTTGATTCAGTTTATAAACAAAGGTTGGCGTAGATTCATTTCATTAGAGTTATACCATCTCGATTCTTAATATGCAATTATATGAAGACTATTATTACAGTGTAATTTTATTGTTTCTTATTGTGAAATGATTTCATATTTAAATACTTTCTCTGATTGGCTAATAAGTTGCTTAATACAGTCAATATAACATACTTTTACCTAAACTGTTTACCCTTAAGTAATATTATCATCTACATTTCTCTTAGGATTTGTAATAAAATTTAAAGGCAATTTATATTGTTTTCTCTTTTTTTTTTATACATTTTTCATTCTTCTGATTTGATTTACACACTTTTTGTTTTTACCTTTTAAAAATCTACACATTTTAGATGCAGTTATTGTCAGCTCTTGGCAAAAATCAATTGCCAATCGTCACTTCACTTTCGCATTGTTTTAATTCAACTAATTTAAATGAATTGAATGCATCGTGTATATTTGATAAAGTTTATTTTTCTAAAAATTCAACAATAAATTCATTGAATATTAATTCAGACAATTCATTGTATCAATCGGCATTCAGTGATGAAAATAATAATCATCATAATCAATCTTTCACAAATCATTATTATCAACCAATGTTATCAGGTTCATGTACATATGTAGGCATTGAACATGATGATATATTATCTATAATTTCACCATTTCATGAATTCAAGTCTATATTTCAAATGAAATGGTCTAATGTACCATATCAAATACATATATTTCCACCTTATATAATTGGTGTAAGTTGAATTCTTAATTTGATTTTAATCTTTCAATTAGTGATTCAAATGTACAATATGTATTTACTTGTATTGAATATTATTTATCCATTTGATTGATTGATTGATTGTATGTTAATTTAGCACTTAACATCGCTTAAACTTTTTTTTATTGTTTTTGTTAATTGTTCAATTTGAAAACATACTCTGCTTTTTGATTGATAAGTATCATTGAAAAATAATATTTAACTAAGTATTAAGATGATCAATGAATGCATACGATACTAGCAATCATTGAAACCTAATCACATAGACTTTCATTGATAAATTGATGTACATCTTATCAATTACAAAAAAAAATGATATGTCATTACATAATTTTGAAAACAATTAATTCTATTTCACTTATCACAAGTTATAAGTCATTTGCAACATAGAACTTAAGTAATGAACGATGAAGTTAAGACCAGATGGATTAGTATATACATAGAGAAGACACAGTCTATTAACAAAATGTGTACAGTGAGAAGACGTAGTTGATATGAACATTCTTCTATTAAAATTCATCAAAAAGACTAATTTTAAAAACATATACACCATATCTTAAAAAAGGCAGATTATTAACTGTCTTCTTCTGGTCTTCAAAACGTTTTGATCACTCCATGCATCCGGTTGTAACACTGTTCTGTACAGCAGTAACTTTTGGGCAACACTTGGCTGCATACTACTTATAAGCCACGTTGCAAGTAGTATCCACTACCTTTGGTACGTATGTAAATCAGTTTCAGTTGCCGTATCATAATAGCACGAAGAGGTAGCATTGTCAGTTCAAATCCCTTAGTGGTATAGGTAGTAACAGTATTATTGGCTATAAAAAAGATAATAAGATTTCCTCTTCACTATTACCTGTTAATGTTTACTAATTTTGTTTTATTATAATTTATTTATTGTGGGTTGAGCATCGTTAAATTATTGGAAAATTACTAATTATTTGTTTGATTGAGAAACAATTGTATTAAATTTCGACTACATACTTAGATATTCATTATGCCAACAACTCAACAAAATAGTAAATTGACATACGTTTGCTATCCTCTGATTGGCTAAAACAAGTGAAAATTTCAAGGTCATTAGGCTGTATATTATGATCTTGCATTTCTGTTTTTTCAACCTCTGATTTGAATTTTTGTGGTTTACTTTCTTGTTATCATATAATTATGTCTCAAAAAAGAGACTACAAAGTAGATGAAAGATATTTCTAATTTTTAAATTAATACACTTACCTGAACTCATTCATAAACGAAACAAACATATTCCATTGTTAAAGTATGCTATATAGAAAATCATTTACGGTTTCTTTTTTTCAACTCATGTTTGCTTTTCTTTTCTACTAGACTATGGACAATACATTAGAAATTCGTATTTTACATCCTAATAAACTAATACAAAAGTTAGCTATAAATCATGTTACTGCAATGTGTTATTCAAAAGGTGGATGGTTTTATGCAAGTACTGCTCCGGCCATTGCAACGCCTACACTTTTCAATACAGATTTTTTACACAATCAACAGAATTCTCCTGTAAGAGAACCCATAAATAATAATTCTTCTACTGTACGTAATAAAAGCACCAATGGTAATGAAATTTGGCTTATATTATCGGCGAACAGATTGAAATTAATTCAAGATTTAGTTAAACAAAAGGTAATTTGTATTTCATAGAAATATTATTGTTGATATTGTTTCTTACATGTGTAAATATGTGAGCTTCGGTTTGGCAACTCAGATAGTATCTATAGCCTACTCACCAATTCAATCATTTGTGTAGCTCAAATGTTAAGTGCTCCTCTTGTGCCAATCTTTATGTGTTGAAATTACTTACTTACTTACTTACTTACGCCTGTTACCCCCAATGGAGCATAGGCCGCCCACCAGTTTTCTCCAACCATCTCTGTCCTGGGCTTCCGTTTCCAGTTCTGTTCAGTTTTTGTCCATTCTTCTCATATCTTTATCTATTCGTCGGCGTAATGTGTTCCTTGGCCTTCCTCTTTTGTTTTTGTCTTGAGGGTTCCAAGTGACGGCTTGTATTGTGACTCAGTCAGGTATTTTTTGGTATGTGTATCCTATCCAGTTTCACCGCTTCTTCCTGATTTCCTCCTTCACTGGAATCTGGTTTGTTGTTGTTTGTTGTTACTGATCATGTCTGGCCAACGAATCCGAAGTATTTTGCGTAGACAACTGTTCATAGATACTTGTATCTTGTGGATGATGGCTTTGATAGTTCTCCAAGTTTCCGCTCCATACAGTAGAACTGTCTTGACATTTGTATTGAAAATCGTGATTTTGGTTTTGGTTGAGGGTTGTTTGGTTTGCATCGGATCCACTTTTCTCGTCGATGATGCTGCCCAGATATGTAAAGGTGTTAACGTCCTCCGAGGCATCTCCATCAAGAGTGATTTGGTTGGTGTATGTTGTGTTGCATCGGATAATTTCGCTTTTTCCTTTATGTATGTATGTGGTGAAATAGCTAACTTAAAGTATAAATGAAGGCATCTAATTAGCTGTATAATGTAAGCTTATAAATTTTAGTCAGCTTCTGGTTCTCATTTATGTCTAATACGCGTACATAAACGAAATTGATCGGTTACATTGAATTGTTAGAAAAGTGTTTTACACAGGATCAGATTCACAAGATATAATAATAATAATAGTAATGATAATAATAATAATAAATTCTTTCACGTAGTAAAAATTATAAGAAATTAATGTTTATGATTATTTTCCACTGGTAAAATTATCGAGCAATGTTATACATACTTTATAAATAACCATAGAATGTATGGTCTTTCATTCTTATCCGATTATGAAATCAGTCACTTTAAGTTTATATAAAACATTTTTCAGTGCTTGATTATATTTTCTTATAATGTGTGTTGTATTCTATTTTTATTCTTCCTGAACTGAAGTACAAACACTGGTTGATTATTTTTTCCTAACGTGGGAATCCTCAGCAGCATATCTTGCCTAATGCAGTGCGAGTGAAATACTTGGAGCCATGGGTTCGCATTGCTGATGAATTCCATACTAGAACAAGACAGCTGTCGCGTTTTCTCTGATTTTTAATGGTTTCTTAGCTAAGATCATTCCAAAACAAATATGAATCAACACTTTAAAAGTATTCTCCAGTAGACCTTCAACTAAAATGTACTGTTTTTGCTCAGTCAGTCAGTTACAACGTACATGAGTTCAGGTTGTCATACCACATAATCACAGAGACTCATTTGTCACTTCAAATCGCATAATAGTAGAGGTAGTAGAAGCATGAAAAGTAATCGAAGAGATTAGGGTTCGAAGATATTATTCAGGAAGTGGAATCTAGTGAAATAAACTTAAAAAGAACGATGAAGCTGATGATGAGGAACTTGGGGGTTAGGATTTGAGAGAACACAAAAAATGAATGCACCTGCTCCATATTGTTCAAGGTATCTGACCATCGGCAACTATCGTCTCGCGGACCCCAAACAGGTAGTCGACTGACACTAACCTACATGTTTCAATCCACTTGTCAGCAGCATCGTGGATTTGCGTCATGTTTTGGTTTGGCAGCTCGTAGCTTTCTTCTAGCCTATACCTATACTAGGCAACATCGCTCATCGAGGCAGTCGGTGGTCGGTCATTCATAACACATGTCTCAACTACATCAACTGATGCAGATTCGATACTTCCTTTGCTGATTTGCCATCCCTTCCTATTGCTTGTTTCCTAAGGACAGCGTTGCTCACTCGGTTGTCCCAGAATACATGAGCAATGCTTCAAAGACATGTATAATCGAATACTAATGGTCTACAAATATTCTGTACTCTTACCAGTCATGTTTCGCATCCGTATAGTGGGACGGAGCGTACTGCTGCGCAGTACATTCGTCCTTTGGTTAGCAGACGGACATCTCTCCTCCGCTATAAATGGCGCGAGTTGGCAAAAGCCACTCGAGCCTTTCGTATGGGGACTGAAATTTCGTCAGACGCCAGACCATCAGGGTTGGTGTGATTCCCGAGATAAATCAAACGGTCAATACACTCAACTACTTAACCACCCGCCTTCGGAGAGGGAGAAGCGCATTCTGAATATACGTTGATTGCTGGTTGAGAAAGTCAGAAGAATCTACCTTTTTCAGAGTTTTCACCAAGTAGAACTGTCTCAGCGGCATATTTTAAGTCAACAAACGAAACTACTGGTAAAAGGTGAACTCCTGAAAAGTTGTACAATGAAAGTGTCATATCTAAAAGCACGTCAATGGAAAAGTTGAGTACGAATCGAGAACGTGAACAAGCCTGACGAGCACCATTTGAAGTAATCAATTCTGATAATAGTTCCCTATAAGCTCTGAATCGACTAGTAGTGTTCGAGGACAGAGCTTTTATGAGGTTAATGTACTTCTTTGGTACACGTTTCAACGACAGGCACTGCCACAGAACCTCACGATCCACAGAGTCGAATGCCGCCCTAAGCTCGAGAACTACTACTATTGCGGGGCGTCTGAACGTGTGTTTATGTTTTAGGACCTGACTTAGTGTAAATACTTGGTCTATACATCCATGGCGGGTCGAATACCAACCTGGTTTTCTCTAGTCCGCTCTTTACGAGTTCTACTTAGGCGTCTAACTATTATCGTGGTTAACATTTTAGACACTATGTTAGTTAAACTGATTCCTCTGTGATTGTCTCGAGATGTCTTCTGTTCTTTTTGTAGACTGGGACAATTAGTGATTGACATCAGTCAGATGGGATAACGTCCAGTTCCCAGATTCTACCTAAGATCTCAGTCAGTCTAACTGTTAAAACTGAACCACCATCCTTAAAAGTCTCAGTGATAAGCCTATCAGGCCTTGCTGCTCTTCTTTGCTTCAGATTTTGTATAGCTTTTTCAACTTCATATAGACTCGGAGAACTTACATGGATTTGCCATTCAGGTTGACTGAAGATCATGGGCAACGGAAGTGTGGTTGAAGGCCAGTTGAACTGATCACTAAAGTGTTCAATCTCCTGGGTTGAGAATGAATAATACGACCATCCTTTTGCGAGATAGTTTCGCTAACATATGAATTCCTGTTACTGGTTTCCTTGACATGGTTGATCATTTGTCTACTGTTATCTGTAGCCGCTGCCTTTTCCATGTCTCTCGCTTTCGCTACCCACCATTGTTCGCGAACATGGTGTGGGCTCTTTATTAACCTGCGCTTAAGCTGACTGTACTCTTCATCTTACTCAGAGCCAGATAGAATGAATTTCCGAGCATCTATCAGTTCGGTAGATGCTACTGAAATCCACCGCTTCTCCTTAACGTTATGGTTTACCTTACTAGCAGATATCACTGCTGTTTCCACAGCCTTTTGTTATATCATTTCAAGCCTCCTCATGGTGTTAATCACTTACATGACTGCCTGACTGTTTTTCCAGTTGCTTCCGAAATATATCCTTAACTACGCTGTCATTAAGATACTAAAAATATCTTGTTATTTGTTTATAAAAATAATCATAACACCTGTGAATCTGATGCAAGTTGATAACATTATAATATTCTACTGGCTATAATCTACGGTAATGTGTATTAATCAATAACAAATATTTAACTATCTTACTGTTATCTATATTACTTTTTCTCACTCTTATTTATTTAGGAATTTGAATTGGCTATTTGTTTAGCTAAAACTGCATTGTATAGTGGTCAGAATCCTGTGGAAACATCACAAATCACTATATTACATGCAATTAATTTATATCATGAAAAAAAGTATTCAGATGCATTAAATTTATTCACTGAACAATTCATTAATCCAATACATGTACTTAGTTTATTTCCTGGTTTATTGTCTGAACAAGAACAACATGAAATAGAATATCCTTGTGATATCAAAGTAAGTTGTATGCTTATTGTTTTATTGTATTTTCACATTAATATAACCTTTTAGCTTTTGTAATTGCTAGATTACTCACTGAGTAGTAAACAATGTCATGTGTTTGTAGTCGTTTATAGTATTGATCGAATTCTATCAGTCAGGCTACAATGTACCCACTAGTTACAGCTTGAAAAGCTCGTTGGTGTCGTTTCAAACTGTGAGGCTGAGTAATAAGGTCAAGTCAGCCAAGAACCATTAGTTCCCTCAGTATTATGGTTACATTTTACAGCAAAAATGTCAAATCGTATGAAATCTAAGTCTTGGGTTTTGTATCAACTACCTTCAAGCTCTGTACAAGTGGTTATTTTAGTCGATTTTATTACTGTAGACTAACAAAATGTTAAAGTTTGGGTACTTTTAAGAACCACACCACAGATTCGAACCCGTTTCCATTACTGTAGTAATTAAGCATCACTTAGGCAGATTGATACTGTCTATCATATACAAAAAGGAGCACATGATTTTATTGATCTGATGGGCAAGTTCAAGTACAGAACGACTAAACAGTCAGTGAATCAGTTGAGTTCAGCTCAATTATGAATCTGTAAATTAAAATAATCAATTGTCTCATTTCTTTTATTAACAATAAATAACTAATACGTTTCACAAAGATTTGACGTTTGTCAGGATTTGATCGTTTGAAGAATGCATAACCTACAAGCTAACTGTTTTCCATCGCCTATTACGCTTTATCATGTATCTGGTATCTGGGGCTGTCATCTGTGTAGTAGTTTTGTCTGTGACCTATAATTATTTAAAGGAAAGTATATTAGTGTCGGTTTTAGAGACCTGGGAGCGTGACCGCAAAGCCCAGGGGACAACTGCTTGAGATCGGTCACGCACGGCCTTTTCATGAAACGTTTTTTTAGTATTAGCTCCTCTCTTAAAAGCCCTTAGTGGGCAACCTTACCGCCAAAGACGGAAATCCGTGAGGTAGGGTGAGGTGTGACATTTTTACCGTCGACCTTTTCTAACTTTTCCTTCCTTGTGAGAAGGCTGCAAGCATCTCTGCAGATGCTGGTTGTCCGAGGGATACATCTTAATGCCGTCACACCCCTCTGCAGTCAGCAGTACGACTTCGCCCTCAGACCTTGGGTAGCTGCTTTTAGTCTCATCGTTCTCCAATCCACCTGGCTGGCATGGTAGAAGCTTCAGGAACACATGTTTCGGCCAATATAGCTCAGGTAGGTAATCACAATAGGCAAGCCCGACCACCACGTCAAGGTAGCAGCTACGATTGGGTGTAGATCGCGTTGATTATTTTTCATTCTTAACTTACCCACAGTTCTACACTGAGCTCATACAAACGTTGATGAATTTTTAGAAAGTGATATTTTCTGTTTGGATTAAATAAACTTAATTCAGCACAATTAGATTACAAAGTTTTTCACTGAAGGAAATACTCTGACCTCATTTAAGGATTGGTTTTTAAAATTTTTTAAGGATTCGTATTTCTCACACTTGCTGTTCAAAACCTACAATCAACCAGTTTTTATCGACTGTATGTATATTCTAAGCAGAGACCTCAGTTGGCATCTTAGTTACAACTTTTTAATTGATCAATATTAATTTTTAGTAAACATAAATTGGTGTTATAACTCCTATCTATTACTCATTAGCTGTCTATGCCTATATCCCTAGTGTTCATGTTCACATTGAGCAAATTAAAACCTCAGCATTGATTACTTTAAACCTGAACACGTTATCCACTTAGCTATTAAATTTGTGTAGCCCTAACATGTTCAACGAGTACGAAGTTATTTGTAAGAGTTTATATTTTTATCTCTATTAATACTTTTCACTTTTAAAAAAGTAGTGCAATGAACGAAGACGTCAAGACTTGATGGAATATACATTGAAAAGACAAAGTTTACCAACAAATATGTACACTAAATTTTCAGGCTTCCTTTTTCACGACAAGCAGACTATTATTTACTGTCCCCTTTCACGTGTCTTCTGGTCCTCAAAACACTGGTTGCACCATGCATCCCAATGGGATATTGTTCCCTCCAGTAGTAACATCTGGGCAACGCTCGACTGCATACTAATTATAAGCTATGTTGCGAGTACTATCCATCATCGCCTTAATTTTATTGCTCTAACTAAGATCCCAATAGACTGGTTTCGATGTAAAAACTTTAAACATAATGCCATTCATTTAATTGTATCAAATTGTACCCTGTGATGTAATTTGAACTTTGACATAAGGTAGCAATGTTTATTTAGATTTTTATATGTTTTCGTAACATTTATCTTTCCTCCATTCCTTTCTTTTAACAATTTATCATCCACAGATTATTAGTTCAACTCAAATGATTGATGCATTCGAACCATTAATCACCTATTTGTTGACATGGCGACGTCTATTAAAACAACAACAACAACAGTCAAACAATGTCAAATTATTGATAAAACCATCGGAAATATTGAATTCAACAACAATAGAAGAATCACAAAAATCATCATTATCAACTAGTAAAAATCAACACCAACAACAAATCATCACTATGAATGAATTTAAATGTTTTTCTATCAAAGATAAAAGTAAAATGACTATGTCATATACGAAATTACTAGAATTAATTGATACAAGTCTTTTGAAATGTTACTTATCAACCAATACAGCTCGTGTAGCACCATTATTACGTCAAGAGAATGCATGTATTCTTGATGAATCAGTCAAAACATTAGTGGAGCATAAACGTTATCAGGTAGGTATTATGTTTGTAGTTTATTAGTTTACTTAGGGGGTTGATCAACTTGTTAATAATGTTTCTAGTATGGATACGCTTCAGTAGTGTGCATCTCTAGCCTCCCAAGATATCAAACCGTCAGGTTTCGTAGGACTTGTTGAACGTTCCAATCAATAAGGGGAAATGCAGTGATTGATATGTATTTCCAACTTGATCATTTAGTGACATTGGTATTCATCATCTTGCTCCCTAATAAGGCTAAACTTAACTGGTTAGGATTTCCCATGCGAACATTAAGAATTCATCTTGAACAAAGTAATCTCTCATTGGCCTTTCGATCAATGCTTTGCTTGAGGCATTTTTGCAGTTAAATCTCATTTGTAAGTTTTAATTCTCATAGATTAATCTAAGTTAGAATACTATTTACACCACCTAATTGATATTGTTCATCGTTTTTTTTTATGACGTAGAATAAATACCTATTTAACGAAATACATTTCATTGAACAGACGATAACAATTACTGTTAAGTGAATGTTAGGACAAGAATTTCTGATTATTATAGTGGTTGATTCATGAAATAGAACCAAACACCTTGCTATATCCCCTAAAGAGCACATTGTCATTCAAACATCGGTTCAAAATTGCACCGTTCATATTTTGCGATTAAAATTAAATCAGGGCATAAATTCATAACCATTCACTGTCATCAGAATATAGTAATTTTTTCTTGCTATATAGTTGGATATTTAGATTTTAGTTAAACATTGTCTAAATGCCTTTCTTTATTTAATTAGTGTTTTCTATTGAAAGTACTATTTTTTTGTGAAATGAAACTTTTAACCATGATGAAGTTGTAAATTTAAATGAAGAAAACTTTCTAACTACTAACGTGTTTTTGTATTTCATTAACTCATCAAATGATCATGTATTTGAAAGGTGAGTTTTATTTCTCAAACTTTTTCCTTTAATCTATGAAATGGATACAATAAGTGATCTATGATGGGTTACAGGTGACGAGATAATTCCAAACGAAATTCGCAACATTTTGAAAATTATTCTTCAAGATATTGTACTAGAGGAAATAACCCGTAGCTTGTTCTGTTAACCTCGCTCAAACGGTCAAACGTGGAGAAATTCGAATACTTCTTCACTTCTATTTGAAGTTTGTGCTGACGATGTTGTTCAGAAGAACAATGAAAGCTCCACAATCAAATCATCTAGCTCAGCGAACGAAACACCATCACAATCATCCACCTGTTGCTTCAAGATTGGGTTGCATCGGTACCTGAACTAGTGATAGGGAGTGAAGTAGTTGAACGTGTAGACCGCTTCACTTATCTTGGGAGTCTGTCTCATCAGTGCTGATGGCCTGATGACTGAGTAAGTCTCAGCTCGGATACAGAAGTCTCGACTGGCTTTTGTCAACCTGCGTCACTTATGGCGTAGGTGAGATATCCGTTTGCTAACGAAAGGATGAGTGTACCGTTCAGCAGTTCGCTCCGTCCCACTATATGGATGCGAAACATGGCCGTTAAGAGTATAGGACTTTTGTGAGTTTCTAGTCTTCGATCCGAAGCATTGCTCGTGTATCCTGGGACAACCGAGTAAGCAATGCGGTCTTTAGGAAACGAGTTCTAGGTAAGGATGGCAGATCGATAGTTGAAGTGGTGTAACTTCATCAGTTGAGGTAGTTGGTACATGTGTTACTAATGCCTAACCACCGACTGCCTCGACGAGCTATGTTTTGTGGTGTAGGAGTAGGTTGTAACAAAGTTAGGGACGGCCAGACCAAAACATGGCAGAAATGCATGAAGTCACTGACAAGTGGACTGAGTCATGTTGGTAGATGTAGACTACCTGGTCTGTGAGACGAAAGTCACCAATGGTTAGAGACCTTGAACGACATGGCTCGAAATCGTTTGCAATGGCGCAAGTGCATTTATTCGTTGTGCTCTGTCGAATTCTAATCTTCTGTATTCGTCAGCACCTCTACCTTTGTCTTTCTAAACTTATCTCACTGAATTATACTTCATTAATAATATCTTCAAAGCCTAGTCTTCTTCATTACCATTAATACCTCTACTATCTCTATCACTATGGGATTTGATTTGACATTTGCGTCTCTGCGCTAATGTGGTATGGCAACATGAACTTATGTACCTACGTACGAAGTTCTACGTTGTATCTGACTGACTGACTGACATCCACCTAAACTATGAATTTTCTTCACCGTCTCACTAAACTTAGGATAGGTGTTGGTACACATTGTTCTAATAATAAAATATACTTAATTGAGAAGGGTGTGTGAAACAAATAGGCAATAAGAATTCAACTTCATGATTTTATGAAAAATAAGACTTTTTTTGTCAATTGACTATGTTCATTGATTGTTTTCTCAATTATTCTATTCGTTTTTTCTTTTCTTTTTTTTGTTGAACCTTATATTCTTTAATTAATCAAGGAATTAATAATGTTATATCAATCACGTGGATTACATGAAGAAGCTTTATCTATTCTACAACAATTCAATATGATACGTATGAAACAATTGGGAAATGCAATAAACATGACCGAATCAAATTCCGATATTCAATTACCAGTGAATATTAGTTTAGATAATAATCATTATAATCCTAGTCTGATTGAACAACTTGGTCATCCGAAACGTATCATTTATTATTTCATGGAACATTTAAATGCATCTTATTTGAATTTATTGTTTGATTATTCTAGAAATTTTATACTACGTTATCATCCAATAAGTTGGATACGTATTTTATATTATTGGGAAAAGAAACTTCACATGAAATATCAATCGGAAATTTTGATCAATGTCACATCAAATGATCAAAATAAAGAAGTTTTAGGCAAGTTAACTTTATTAGTGTGTGTGTGTGTGTCTAGTTTTTTAAAGGGGGAATGTATTTTTTTTTTCTTTACACAAAAACATTTATAGTCTTTGACTTGTACTTCCTATTTTCAGTTTTTTCATAACTTTTGCGCATCTGGTCGGTCACATTTCAGCTAGTTCTGTCAAATTAACATGAATTTTAGGTTAGTACTCCTCTCTAAAACGTGTAATAAATTGTCAAAACTACTGTTTTCAAATGATTTTAACTGATAGACTGATTATCATTATCATATCAGATAACATATTAACAGATCACAGTATAAATTTCATTTTGATACCACGGAAGATTAGTATGATTAGTATTAAGTATTAGTATTGAGTATTCATTTGCGTAGTTGATATTCGCTTTACTTTAGTAACTATTATTACTAGTAGTAATAAAAATGTACACACAACAACCTGCATGTGATATAATTGTGTTTAGCTATACGCTATCAACCTTTCTAACATTACTTCCTATTGAAAGATGAAGTCGGTGGGACATATTGACTAGCTTGAATTTTACTGATACTAGGGAATCAGTTAGATTCCATTTTAAATTCATCCTATTGAAACATTTGTACAAATGCCTTATTGGTAATTATTATGCGAATTTCCATTTACTATCCTAACTGAACTGGATTCAAAAATCAAATGATCTAACGCCTATGCTATACTAGTTGATATCAGAAATAAATAGTTGTATTTTTTCATAAGGATTAATAAAAAAATCCTAAGTTATAGAGAATTCGACATCTGTTCTCTTCAAATATTGAACGAACTTGTATAACAGCAAGGAGGATTTTAGGTCATTACCAACCTAGGATGGTTCATTAAATATATATAATCAGTAGACCAGAATTGAAGTCAACTCTTCCATAGTTTTTGATGCGTTCTTAAAACTATGCCATTCTCAATACTATCAAGCTCTTTATGACCTTATTAAGTGTTTAACTATTAACGTTTCCTTCACTTGCCTATTCAAATTTATTTCAACTTGTACCATTGTTTGTTATTTGAATGTTGCTAGTATTAGTACTATATTTTGTGTGGCTTAGAAAAGTGGTAAATACAAAGCCTAATTAAGCTATTTACTAAGATTCTTCACTAGTATATCAGGATTCACTTTTCTAGATAATAATGTTATGTGTCGAGGTATAAGATTATCTCATAAACTTTATTTTTTTCATGACAATTCGATTAGAAATGAGATCAGCCTAGTTGGAAATTGGCATAAATAAGTATTGGACCAAAGTGCTATACTATATTAGCACTATGCAAACAAGTTAACACGATAAATAGCAAAAAAGTTTGCAGTAATTATAGTGGGAATGACATTGAGAAAGATTGACCATTGTTAATATACTTTAAGAAGACAGAGTGGTAAGGTATGTGTGAAGGAATACTGAAATTCACAAAGTAGTGAAAGATCAAAGAGTGAGTATAATTGGGGTGGGGTATTGTGAACGACTCTGTGTTCTGTCACCCATAGTCTCCCCTCATAGATCATAGTTATATTATACACACCAACCAGATAGTCTGCAAGTCCACAAGCATAACTAAAACCAAAATCATTGACTTGTTGAACAGATTTCACATTTTTGGTTTACACTACCAAGTTTGACTAGAATTGATTCTCTTTTTCGAATTAAGTTTGAGCTTCATTGTTCATTCATAATCATCAAATGTACCTACTATAAATATTCCCTTTGTGGAATATTCGATGTAGTTGTTTCTCACTCGACTAGTCAGTAACATTTGTTATAAATGTAATCATCACTGCTAACAACTATAATTTGATTATCCTGATAACTAAGCCTTATTACTCACTCAGTATTATCTGTTTATTATTGACGCAATTATCAACGTCTAATAGTTATTTGTATAACATATGATCTATGCATACATATTTAAAGTGGCCAAATTTAATATGTTTATGCATTGAAACACACTGAATGGAAGTTTCAAATGAGTATGTATATCTTAAAGAAACCTATCTTACAAGTTGTTTAAGTGAGATTAAAAAATTGATGTTTTTCAATAGCATACTAATTCATGAAGATAACGAATCACGAATCTGCTAATATAACCTTCATTTTAATTTACATATTCTGTCATTTTTTTTTTAATTGTATTGTTGTTTGTTTGTTTGTTTTTTCTCATCGAATCAGATCAATTTATAACATTTTGTTCTAATTATCGAAGTCAGCTTTTGCATTATATGGAACAATATGCTCCACACTTAATCATTCCTTATTTGGAAATGATTATCTTTGTACAATGGAATATTCAACATATTGATAATGATGTTGATGTTGATGATGATATTGACAATGACAACAACTATTATGATGATGAGGATATAGTTGAACATGATGAAGTAGATGACGGAGAATCAGAAGAACAAGAAGAAGAAGAAGTAGAAGTAGAAGACAGTAACGATAATCAAAGTGATTTTAGCACTGATCAATTCACTACTGATGAGCATCAGAAAGGAGAAGAGAAACTTCCAAAAAAGTCAAAAGCTAAAACTATTCTTGCAAATCATGTTCATGCTGAATCGAAACAAAACACATTCAAGAATATTGAACGTAAACCGAACAAATCTAGTCCTCGTAATAATTTAAAATCGAAAATATCAAGTGTTTCACAATTGTCATGTGGATCATCTTTGGATTCAATCCAATCTGGATCTATGTCTCCAGGCAACGTATGCTTTTTGAATAGTAAATGATTATATCATGTGTTTTATGTTGTTTGACTCATTATCTTCTTATTTAGGTGTAACAATGAAGAACAGAACATTCCAGATATGTATTTCTAAGAATGCATGTATAACCATGTAAACTATATATCCTAATTTATGAGTTTTATAAGCAATGATATACATAGAAATTGATCATTAACATTGTTACGAGTATATTAATCAAGTCTCATGTAATCATTAATTTATGTGAAACGATATTTCACTGTTGTGTTCGGCTTCAAATGAACAATGCTTGTAAACGATTTATTGCAATAAAGTGCCGACTTTAACTGTAATAGTTTATAAGTAGCATCTATCGTTTTAGTGTTGATTGACATTGACCACAGAATCTATAAACTATTGAAAGTAACCTCCCCTTTCTCTTTCGCATACACACGCTACAAGTCCACCTTTATTAGTGTAAATGTCAGTGTGTGTGAACTGAAATCTCCTTGATTTATTGAACTTACTCTTACAGAAGATCAGTTGTGACATAAGTTGGTTAGCGATTCGGTCTAAAACCGTCTAGCTAAGTGATCCAAGTTTGTATCCACTAGGAAGGAGTACCAGTTCCCTCAGTATTGAATAACCTTGCTAACGGGTGCTAGCTAAACACAAAACTGAGGTTTATGGTTTTTTTGCCAACTACATGCAACCATGATACTATACTTTCCACTTCATTGCAACTGTATACACATGTTTCTTTCTCGTCTTAAACAATTCGTATTCAGTGCTAACTAACATCAATTTAAATGTCAGGAAAATGAACAAACAATTGAACAGTCATTCCATTCTACTTTTTATATTACTCATATGGTATCAAACAATTTTTCAGTCTTTCATTAAATATAGGATTGTTTAACTTCGTTGAAATTCACTAGTTCAACATGACTCTGTGTATTAGTTATCTTTTTCAAGTAAGTGATCGTTGACTATGATGTGCCTGGTATTGTTACTTGTTCAAAACTGGTATTTATCTCCTCGCATAACTACTGACTTCATTTCTTCTTGTAAATAACTTCTTTCATTTGCTTGTTGTTGTTGTTTTTTTCATTCTTGAAGCGTTCAAGTCGATTTAGGGATATGCTAACAAATTCTTTATGGCCTTTACCTGATCGAAGTGGTTTTAAACGCTCTCGACTGATTAATTCACTTATAACTAGTTCATTTAAAGAAGTTAATCCTTCAAAAATATATGATCCAGATATTTTACCCCCTATTCCACAATATCCTTCTTATATTGATGTATGTGATATACATACACGTTATGCAATAGCATTAATGTAAGTTGATATCAACATTTCTATGCCTTATTTTAGTGTATGTGTTTTTGTATCATATGATTGGTGAGAATCAATAGATTAGAGTGAAGTGGTCCAAGAAAATCGACAAGAAGTTTTACAACTATGTTTCATGCTAGCTGACACTGGTACTAAATAAGTTTTATTTCCTACGGAATCCGGACTCAGTCTCTCATCATAGACTTCAAATTGATTAATTACAGGATTTGCTTTTGGACATTTAATCCGATTACCGTTAATAATTATCTAAGCCTATGTTATGATTTACTTTCCAATTTAATTTCTGTACACGCTCTTAAAGCTTGACCTACTATAGTAAGTTGTATTGTGAAGAAATCAAATAACAGTTGTTACAACCTATATATGAATGTCGCAGTAAACAATCCTAATCATAACAACCCTCATACACTACCGTCTTACTTTCCATAATGACTTGAAATATCGTATAATCCTGTTTGGTTTTCTTCAACATAAAACTACATGACTCTTTCAAACGGTGGATCAATATTTTGAATATTTATTTTTATTTATGAAATCGCTAGTTTAATTTCTGTCCCAACCGACTTGATCCATTCAAAGTCAAGTAGAATGTTAGGTTCACATATGATAAATACAGTTGACAATGTATATTTTACAATTCAATTCGCAATTAGTAGTTATTTCTTTGTGATTGCTTTTCTTTTTTGTTCCAGACGTAGAGCTCAATTACTACAACCGGCTAATAAGCCATTTGCATTTAAAGTTAATGATGAACAACCGAAATATGGAGTTGTAGCACGATTACGTCTACGTCTTATACGTTTTCTAATGCATCCTGGTGCAAATTATTCTTTTTGTCAACTACTGACCAAGTGTCCTTTTGATGCATTTTTTGAAGAACGTGCTTTTTTATTGGCTAAATTAAATAAGCATGAACAAGTATGTTATAGAGATTACAAAATTCTAGTTAATTTCTTTATATTGAATAATTGTGGAACTTGACCATTGAGCCTTGCAAAACTATGGATTATTTTAATTATTTTTGACGTGTTATTATTCAGTTGGTAATTTAGAGTAATTGTAAGATTTTATTTAACATATTCATCATTCCAAAGTTATCATTAAGCGATAATGACCTATTACGCCGTTTTGCATCACTTATGATCCAGTTGTATATAACAGGATGTCTTATTTGTGATGCGTTTTGTGCATGTAGTTAATATGAATAATTCTATAGGTTAGCTATTGAGGATAAAAAGAAAAATTCATTAAGTCATTGTACATTGCATTAGAATATTTTAGAGACGGTAGTTTTACCTTGAATTTGTGAATGAATACGCTCACTAGTGACTAGCTTCGTTAGCTTCTTGGAGTTCTACGGAGATATGACTAGTGAATTTCAAGCCTGTCTGGTGTAGTCAGCAACTACCGAAAACAATGGGTGAGGTGCACAGAATCCTTATTTAGATCAGAGTTAGACATTAACACCACCGAGTGCCGGTACAGTGACGCGGGCAAGACGGAAGGCCCTGAGTTTGAATCTTGAGTGTAGCAGGAGTTATGGACGCGCACAGCTGATGAGTCTCGTGCCAGGATGACACAACAGTCCAGTGCTTCCAGGTTCCTGATAGTGGTCTGGCCATGATTCATTCATGAATTAAAGGTGAAACTATCATCTCCGTAATACCCTAATGCATATTTTAATATCATTATTATCAAATAATGTCTAAAAAGTCGGTGTGGGCAGCCGGGAAAGTAACATCCGCCCCTCATACCCATAAAAGCACACGAGACCAAATTGGTCACAATCAAATCCTTTCTACACCTCCTAATAGCTCTATTGTCTCCTCAACCAACCGTTTCGATTGTTTATCACCTCACGCCACTGAAGCAAACGGTATGAGCTCACGAAACATTATTCCTTATCTCCTGAAACCCCGTACTAAGTTACGCATTGAAGCTTTTAATGTCCGGACCCTGTGCCGAATAGGGCAACAGTATTCATTAGCTAGAACTCTGGAATTGTGTTGCGTCTCCGAAACGAGCATACAAGATCCGAGTAAAATCATCAATTTGATCTCACCTAGTTCAGATAGAGACACAACAAGATTTACGCTTTGTGTTTCTGGAAGCCATGATGCCGCCTCTCGTGGCCTCGCCGGCTCTCTTAGACTTGTTCCGGATAGACAGTCGCTTATGCCCTGTCCGACTAAAGGGGACGGTACGGACTCGGAAGGATAGGGACACTCTGTTGCCTCTTCATCGTATCTGCCTACGCTCCCATTGATTGCAGTTCAGACGATGTGAAAGATAAGTTTTATAGAAACCTCTCTAAACTCCTCCAAAATGTTAAGCGCTCTAATGTAGTAACAATGGCTGGTGACTTTAACGCTCAAATAGGTAGACTCAGCGAAAAGGAAAGACACTTGGATGGATGCTATGATATCGTGACTAATAGAACAGATAATGGAGACCGTCTGCTGCAGCTATGCTCAGGTAACCGCCTATTCCTAACAAACACTCACCTTAAGCATAAGGTAAAATACCTTTTGACCTGGCGACCCCCAAAGCCGACCCAATGATGGACCGGACTAGATCACATCAGTATAAGCCATCGGTGGAGAGGCTTGGTTGAAGACTGCCGCTCATTTTGTGGCTCTTGTTTAGACTCAGACATTGCTCTAGTGCGAGCACGTATTTGTTTGCGCCTTACTGGACGCAAAAAAATATCTCAAGGAAACGTCTCAGGGTTCTACTTAGTGATAATAAAGCTAAAAATATATTTCAGGAACAACTAGAAAAACAGTTAAGCAGCCGTGTAGTAATTGATGCTCACCCTGAGGAAGTTTGGAATGATATCAAAAAGGCTGTGGGAACAGCAGTGATATCTTTAAGTAAGGTAGACCATAAGTCTAGGAAGAAGTCATAGATCTTTGTAGCATCCATCGAACTGATGGATTCTCGAAAGCTCATCCCACCTGGCTCTGAGTACGATGAAAAGCGGATTCAACTCGGTCGCAGTCTGATAAAAAGCCTACGCAATGATCGAGAACAGTGGTGGGTGGCGAAAGCAAGGGAGATGGGAAAAGCAACGGCGATAGATAACAGTAGACAACTATTCTGACTTATCAAATGTAAGTGAGATTGTGAGAATGTAAGTGAGACTATCTCAGAAAAGGATGGTCTTATAATTCATTCTCAATCCAGGATATTGGATCGATGGGCAGAACACTTCAGGAGTCAGTTCAACTGGTCTTTAGCCACACTTCGGTTGCTCACGACCCCCAGTCATCCTGAATCGCCAGTCGATTTAAGTCCTCCCAGTCTACATGAATTTGAGAAAGCTATAGGAAATCTGAAGCGAGGGAGAGCTGCGGGTCCTGATAGATTAATCCCTGAGACATTTAAGGATGGTGGTCCAGTTTCAACAGCTTGATTGAGTGAGACTTTTGGTAGAATCTGGAAAATAGGCGTAATTCCTTCCAACTAGTCTCAATCACTTATGGTTTCAGTGTATAAGAAAGGATAAAAATCCTCTTGTGATAATCATAAAATAATCAGTTTAACTAATGTGGTATCGAAAATATTTGCCTCAATAATACCACAGCGTCTAACTAGAGCTCGTGAAGAGCAGACAAGAAAAAACCAGGCTGTTTCCCGACCTGGACGTGAATGTATAGACCAAATATTCACACTACGTCTTGTCCTAGAACATAGACACATGTTCAGACGCCCCACAATAGTAGTATTTCTCGACCTTAGGGCGGTATTCAACTCTATCCATCGCGAGGTTTGGTGGCAGTGTCTGTCATTAAAAGCTGGATCAAAGAAGTACATTAATCTTATACAGGCTCTTTACTCGAACACTGCTGATCGATTCAGAGCTTATGGTGAACTGTCATCGGAATTCTTTACCTCATATGGTGTTCGTCAGGGCTGTCCACTCTCCCCATCCTTGTTCAATTTTGTCATCGACGCGCTCCTAGATATAACCTTCTGACCACCTTGAGCAACAATGCAAGCATGTTCGGGACGCGGTTCTCACACTCGAAATGCAAAATGTTGCTTCAAAACTGGGTTGCATCAGCACCTGAACTATTGATAGAGAGTGAAGTAGTTGAGCGTGTCGACCAGTTCACTTATCTTGGAAGTCTGATCAGTGCTGATAAGTGACTGAAATATTGTTCTATTTCATCAATATCTCTAGGGCCTAACTGTGGAAGAAAATTAGTGTTGGAGTTCAACCATTTCGAATATGAGATAGCTATTCACCACATAATGGAAGACGGTCGTTCATTATTGTCAATTGATACTGTTGAAGAGCAGCTCAATGGTCTTAATTTTACACAAGTATGAAACCGGAAATCTTTGACTTGACGGTTGCGTGGTCGTCGATACAATCTGCTGAAGAATCCCATACTAGAAAGAAACGATTATCCAATGTGTCTATGTTCTCACTGAAAGTCTAACTTAGATCGGTTCATGATATCTACAAAAATCAGAAAAATAATTCATTTTATCAACAGTTTGACTAGTTAGTATAGGGGAATTTTAAATATTTTTTAATGTGACAGTCTGAATCCCAGACTAACCTAATTTAAATATCACATTACATCATGAATTGTTCTGAGATAGAAACTCGAACGATCGGGTACTGACTTAGTGGTGTGAAGGTCAAAAGCTCACTGCATAATCTGAAAATTTTGATTTCGATAGGACAATAAAGTTGTATAGTGTTCCTTAGTTGTCCAGTTACCGTCAGTCCGTCATGTAAACTCGTAAAATGACTTAACCATTTACATCATACGTTGTGTAACTTACTGGTTGTTGGCACTGTAGAAAAGTCAAGTACATAAATATTTTATCATTGTAACGAAAGATATCATTTTGTGCATTGAAATCGTCTTGTTTAGGTTACACTTAACTTACTTTATATTCATGGTACTTTTTTCTAATTTTATCTAGGCTCTTTCACTCTGGGTTCATTTACTAAATGATTGGAATAGAGCTATAACTCATTGTGTCAATGTCTATCAAAAAGGTGAACATCATTTAAATAATATTGCAAACATAGAAATGGATAATGTTCCTACAGATTGTATTGGCATCTGCACTGGCGGCGTTAATAGTAGTGATGCAATAGTTGAAAAGAAATTCTCTTTATCATCTGCCCAAAATGATCGAAATTCTTCTTCTTCATTAATTAATTCTTCATTCACAGATAGCACCAGTAATTTAAATAATAAAAATCCTAATGAAGTATTGATCAATAATGGTCGTGATATATTTTTCTTACTGATACAAATTTGTGTACAGCCTACTGAACCTTCTGATTTGGGCATTATTCTACCTTGTGAGTTTGTTGTTGTTGTTGTTGCTTTATTTCTTGATTGACAAGCTTTTTGTCTGGTTCTTCCATTAGAGAAACTTAATTACTAAACAATTGGTGATTAATAAACTTCATCCATTTCTATAATAAGATATATTTCACCGATAGCGTTCATTGGTTATTGGTAATGGACTCTGACTGTTTTGTCCGAGTTTCCTTTTCTAATTATGATGAATGGTTAGAGACTTTAGAGAGTATGGCTTAAAATCATTCACAATAGTGCAGATGTATTCACACTTCGTATTCTCTTAGATCCTGCATTTGGAAATGATTTTGGATAAATTATTTTGTAGTTTAATTCATACTTCCAATTAATATTATTATTTAGTCTCTGATGTTGATAATTCTGTGTATCTTTGTGATGTGGCACTTTGAACCAATGTGCATATATGTAAGGTTATACGTTGCTTTAGACTGACTTATATGAGATAGCTAAGCAACAGATACTTGTAAGTGGTGTTTTTATCTTACCATTTTCATTTGAATTATTGACTTGAAATGATGTATGTCAGATGTAATTTCTTAAGTATCTTTGTTAATCAACTGTGTAATTTTTAGCATCTCCCAACAAATCTACACTATTCACTCCGAAGCCTAAGAAAGCACTTGAAATTCTTCATCAATATAGTACATTTGTTGATCCTATCAAAGTAATACGAATCCTACCTACAGTTGCCTTAAGTTCTGTTGGTGGTTACTTAAAGGTATGCAAGATTACTAATAATTTTAAACATTATACTTAACCAGAAATTCTATTGCATGTTTCTTGTTGGTAAAACTTAAATGATCGTTGATTATATCTTTGTACAAATACGGTTTAACTTTGAAGAGAAAATTTTTATTACATCTAACAGCATTCAAACAACTGCCGTGATATATAAAATACTCAAGTATTTCCAGCAGTCTAGTGATTTCTTGGATACTTCTTTCTGTTTAAATGTATTTCTCACTTCTGTATTACTATATTAACAGTGAATACGGATGTTTGTACTAGACCTTACTACATTAGATGTTGTCATACAGGACTTCCAAAGCATCAGTTAACTAACCAAGAATACTTTCTAACAAACAGTTTCTACATACAGTTCTTCATATGATCAACTGCAACTTTGTTGCTAAGATATGCAACATTTATTGATTCATAAAAGCCGTAGCTGTATTTGTGCACCTGGTAGAAATTAAGGCATTCAAAAATCGTAATAAATCTGACCTGAACTTTTCGAGGCAACAGTTTGAACACAACTGCTATCAACCATACACTGTCATAGCTGTCCTATCAGTTGCATAAAGTTTAACTGAGATGAGTGCGGCAGTGACTTCTGAATAATCCATTCGATTCACTGTTTTAAGTATCGCTTTTATTCGTTTAAAATGCAGATTTCAGGTGCTCTTGTCTATGTATTTCATGGTGTTTGAGTATTTGAAATTGAAGTAGGACTTTCATTCGGTTAGGTGAGCTAGTGTTCACAAAATTTTGTGCTCAAAGTCACTTAAAGACTAACCTAATTAGACTACTCTTATAATGTTCTACCCAGCAGTGTCTGTTTGAAATGTGTCATCCGATTTCCTCGATTAATGCAGTCGCTTCACGCGCTTAAGTGTATGTATTAGGTCAAAAAGTAAGTGATATGTTGGGGGGTAAATGTCTTTGGTAAAGCTTCCAATCAGTTAGTTATTCAGTGATATGACTGATTAAATCGTCTAATACAACTCTTGATTCATTCCTTGTCTTTTCACTAAAGTTGCTGTGTATAAGACGTTTGCAAGTCAGTAATGGAATCAGTCAACTGTCTAACTTAACGTCATTTAGTTTGAGTAATTTCTGTTGAACATCTGACTTGTTCCTTCTATTGTTTTAAATGAACAACAATTTCCGTCTCATACTGAATCCTAGGTTTGGTCATACGAACCTGATAAGTAGGTCTGCGTAGCTATGTCAGCTCTAACTGAATTACTTCAGAATCGAGTTAATTATATTAATCAGTTGGCAGATAGTAACTGACACCATACTGTCAATTAACTTCAATTGTAAGTATAACTTTGATGAATATTTATGAACGACCTAGATTTTTTTACCGAAAATAAACTATCCTAACTATAAAAATATAGGAAATTCTTAATGCACCTATGTTATCTTCGTTCAAAATTTGTGAATTTCAGTGATATTACTTATTGATCTCTATATGGTGTTGTTTTCATATAATTTTTGAGTAATTTTGAAAGGTTTTTTTTAAAAAATAAACGTTTTATTTTTGTTACTCTTTTCCTTTGTGGCATATTTAGAACATATTTATATCTCAAGAAAGTACATTGAATCAATTAGTTTTTCTGAAAAATGCTGCAAAATCTGAATTAATTGCTTCATGTACAGATCGTATAAAAGTTACAAATAATCATTTTTCAATTTTACCAACTACACGTTGTCGAACATGTCGTCGACGTATTGGTAATAGTGCGTTTGTTAGACAACCAACAAGTGATGAATTAGAACATTATGGCTGTTGCAAAGATGTAACAGGAATAAAATGATCAAATAAAAACTATATTAATTTGTTATTTATTTTTATAACTTATTTATGATTTCATAATGACAACCATTATAACAATCATAATAAATCACATAATATACTGATATCTGTTTATTAACGATGCATTCTAATTTATACTATTTGTTTTCTTTCTTTTTCTTTAATATAATGCTAATCTTACGAATTAAAACAAATTTCTGCAGATAAATACATTGATAATTTCTAATCAGTGTCGTTTTGTTTTGTTAATAAGCATTAATATGCTGAGTTATAGTTACCGTTGTAGTATAATTGCTTTCTACAAGCCGTACATTACATAAATTAACAGTGTACAGGTAAACATATTGGAAATGACTTGCAAATCAGAACCAAGTCATATACTATTAAAAAATGCTCTTCGATATTTTATCTCGCACCTTATGAAGTTATCGTATGATCTGCATTCTCTAATTCGAGGTTCTCACTTGAAGCAAATATTGATCAGATCCATAAACGCTTAATATGTTCGACTCATACATTATTTCATCAAGGTGTACATAATAGTTTAGTTTTGGTTTATTTGTTTTGTTTACAAAAATGTATGAAAATTGTATTGTATTGCTTCTAGGTAACTTTGCATGCATCGGCTATCAGATTATGGTTCGTGAACCACTTAATTAGACATCACCTTTCATCAGTCAGCCATTAATTTAGAAGCCGGCCACATAACTGCAAAGTCGATATGTTGTAACCTCTATTTATTGTTTTAGACAAACATCTTTTCTTGGTCAAGTTTACACAAGTCACGGTTTCTTACTAGAACTTCTGTACAGTCGTTAAATAATGATTCTCAAGCTAATTTCTGATGAAGGAGTGTATGGAAATTCGCCTTAAAACTTCCTGTTTAAATACATTCATCTATTGTTTGAATTTTAGATATTTTATTCGATCTCATAAATATTTTTTACATCAATTCATATAATATCCATTACGCAAAGTTTGCTGCCAATTACTTTGTTCACTATTCATTAAGTTCTGATCATCAAGAATATAGTAATTTCATGGTTTATAAAAACAGTTTATAATCTGCATTGAATTTTAACGGATCATCTTGTCATCATATGGTTATGTGAAATTTGTATAATAACTGACGATTTTCGACACAGATCAGTCTTGTTTGAGAGTGAAGATTCCCCGTTATTTTGAAAAAATAGTTTGTAGGAGACCGATATTACCAGAAAAATATAACATTTAGAATAATGTAGGACTTTTTCAGCTACTGATTTACATAGACCTTGGCAAGACATGTTTATATTCGTAAGTAAATAAAATACTGATAGTATGATGGGAAGTAATCAAAATAAAAATGACACAACTTCGGTTTTAGGGAAAAAAATATTCATGGGACAACGCCTTCGTCATTTAAATAAGTGCTATAAGAAAAAGATGTTGAATCTTTCGTAGTAAATTTGTTACTTAAGTAACTTGTTTTGTCTTTTATCCATGAATTCACCTTGACTTTATACTTAATTATAACGAAAATCACCAGTAACATTATACATGTGATGAATAGGCCAACCATGATATCAATTGGGATTTCTTGAGGTTTTTCTTTTAGAGGTGTAGGTAATAATCCTGTTCTTCTCTCGCATCTGTCTCCCGCCCATTCTCTCGAACATCTGCATCTAAGACATTTAGTCGCAAGTAAAGGACCCTGTATTGAGCATAAAGTACATTCCCCATTATTAAAACAATATGTACTACACGATTTGTTGTCCGTCTGTATATCGCTTGTCTGTAAAAATTCTAACTGAAATACAAGAAATAACCGTAGGTTAGTTATCGTTCAGATTTAAATTGTATACACTGTTTTCATTTTGGATGATTAATGAATCACATGCGCTATACTCGACCGTAGCTACTACCTTGTCGGGCTTGCCAGTCGTGATAATCCAACCGAGCTATATTGGCTGGAACATATGTTCCTGTAGGTCTTACCGTGCCAGGTAGGTCGATTGGAGAACGTTGAGACTAAAAGCAAAAACCTCAAGGTCTTGGCGAAGTCTTACTACTGACTAAAGACAGGTATGACAACAATAAGGTATTTCCCTCAGACAATCAGCATTGATGTTGCCTTCTCAAAAGGAAGGAAGGGGTTAGAAAAGGTCGACCCTAAAAAATATCATACTTCACCTTACCTCACGGATTAAAGTCTGCGGCGGTGAGGCTTTTAAGCAACAACATAGTTAATACTTTAAAAACTTCTGATAGAAAGGCCTAGCGTGACCGGCCTCAAACAGTTGTCTCTCAGGCTCTGCAGTCACGCTACCAGGTTTATAAAACAAACGCTAATCCAACTTACTTTTCAGGTTCTCAAAAAACACCCACTGTGTGGGCAGCCGAGAAGTGACATCCGCCCTCATACTTGTAACAGCGCACGAGACTGAGTGGTCGCAATCAAATCCTTCCTACACCTCCTGACAACCTTATCACCTCCATAAACAAACCTCCAATCCCTTTATCACCTGGCGCTACTGATGCAAACGATTTGAGTACGCGAGACGTCATTCTGTGTCTTCTGAAACCTCTCTCTAAACTACATGCTGGAGCTCTAAATGTTCGAACCACGTGTCAAGTAGGAAAACAGGCTTCCTTAGCTAGGACTATGGAATTCTGTGCCATCGATGTATGCTGCGTCTCGGAAACGCACATACAGGATCCGAGGGAAATCATTAATTGGATTTCACCTCGTCCTGAAAGAGAATCAACTCGGTTTGCGCCTCATGTATCTCTAAGCCCCACTGTTTCTTCTCTTGGACTCGCTGGTGTTGGTATAGCGTTGAGTCCTAGCTCTCTTAGACAGAATCTCGGTAGTGCTGTCCAACTAAACGGGGCAGTAAGGTTTCCGAACAAAAAGGGAAACTCTCCGTTTTCTCATCGTCTTATCTGCCTACGCTCATACACTGTAGTTCAAAGTTTTGTAGAAACCTTTCGGAATGCCTACAAAAACGTAGTAGCTCTGATATAGTAATATTGGCTGATGACTTTAATACTCAAGTCGGTAGATTAGATGAGACTGAATTGGATCAAGGTTGATCTCGTGGTGTCGCGGCCGATCGAACAGATGGTGGCGACCATCTGCTGCAGCTATACTCAGATAAGCACCTAATGCTAACTTTAAACAAGGAAAAACATCTTTTGACATGGCGAACACAACTCTAGTCCCACATAGGTCACATCGCTATCAGCCATCAATAGAGGGGTTTGATAGAGGACTGTCGCTCGTTCTGGAACACATCTCTAGTCAAGGCGCGCTTTTGTTTGGGCTTACTGGACACGGCAAGGAAACCTCTTAGGGTTCTTCTTGGTGATAGCATAGCTAAGAATATATTTCAGTAGCAACAAGAAGAACAGTTAGGCAACGAAACAAGTGATGCCCACACTTAGACAACTTGGAACGATATCCAAACACCCGCGAAAACAGCAGTGATATCTGATATTAAAGTAAACTATAAGTTCAGGGGAAAGCGGTAGATTTCAGTAGCATCTACCGAACTGATAGATGCTCGGAACCTTATCCCGTCCAGCTCTGAGCATGAATGAGGACCGGAGTCAGCTTAGGCACAGGCTGATAAAAAGCCTACGTAACGACCGTGAACAGTGGTGGGTGGCGAAAGCGAGCGAAATGGAAAAGGCGGCGGCGATAGATAACAACAGACAACTATTCTGACCTATTAAAGAAACCGGTACTAGGAATCTGAATGTGAGTGAGACTACCTCAGAAAAGGATGGTCTTATAATTCATTCTCAATTCAGGAGATTGGATCGATGGGCAGAACACTTCAGGGGTCAGTTCAACTGGTCTTTAGCCACACTTCGGTTGCCCACGATCTTCAGTCAACCTGAATAAAAAGTTCACGTGGGTCCTCCTAGTCTTTATGAATTCGAAAAAGATATACGAAATCTGAAGCGAGGGTGAGCAGCGGGCTTACTTCTGAAATTATTAAGGATGCTGGTCCAGTTTCAACAGATTGAGTGACTGAGAATTTCGGTAGAATCTGGGAAATAGGCGTAATTCCATCCAACTAGTCTCAATCACTTATGGTTTCAGTGTATAAGAAAGGATAAAAATCCTCTTGTGACAATCATGAAATAATCAGTTTAACTAATATGGTATCGAAAATATTTGCCTCAATAATACCACAGCGTCTAACTAGAGCTCGTGAAGAGCAGACAAGAAAAAACCAGGCTGTTTTCCGACCTGGACGTGAATGTATAGACCAAATATTCACACTACGTCTTGTCCTAGAACATAGACACATGTTCAGACGCCCCACAATAGTAGTATTTCTCGACCTTAGGGCGGTATTCAACTCTATCCATCGCGAGGTTTGGTGGCAGTGTCTGTCATTAGAAGCTGGATCAAAGAAGTACATTAATCTTATACAGGCTCTTTACTCGAACACTGCTGATCGATTCAGAGCTTATGGTGAACTGTCATCGGAATTCTTTACCTCATGTGGTGTTCGTCAGGGCTGTTCACGCTCCCCATTGCTATTCATACTTTGGAGCCGACTTTTTCATTGTCTTACTTTTCGATAATTGATCTTCTACCAGTAATTTCGTTTGTTGAGGTAGATTCTTCTGACTTTCTCAACCAGCAATTTATGCATATTGAGAATGCGATTCTCCCGCTTAGAATGCAAAGTGTTGCCTCAGGATTAGCTTGCGTCTGAGCTTGAACTATTGATAAGAAGTGAAGTAGTAGAGCATGAAGTTCGCCTCACCTATCTTGGGAGTCTTATCAGTATTGATGACTTGGTGTCTAAAGAAATTTCGGCCCGCATACAGAAGGCTCGACTAGCTTTTGCCAACTCGCATGACTTCAGGAGTAGGCGAGATATCCGTTTGCAAACCAAAGTACGAATCTACTGTGCGGCAGTTCGCTCTGTCCTGCTTTATGGCTGTGAAACATCTCCGAAAACGGCTGAAGATAATCATAGGCTACTAGTTTTCGATCACCAGTGTCTTCGAAGCATTATTAGAATATCCTTAACCAGTCAAATAAACAATTCTGGGGTTAAGAAACTGGTGCTAGGTAAGGATGGCAAATAGATCGTTGAAGTACCGAATCTTCATCAGTTGAGGTGGTTAGACATGTGTTACGAATGCCCAACCACCGACTACCTCGATGAGCTATGTTTTGTGGTGTAGGAGTAGGTTGAAAAAAAGGTAAGGACGGCCAAACCAAAACATGGCACAAATCCATGAAGCCACTGACGTGTTGACTGAGTCATATTGGTAGGTATAGATTACCTGGTTGAGGTCCTCGTGACCATATTAACCGATGGTTAGAGACCCTGAATGACATGGCTCGAAATCTTTTACAAGGGCGCAGGTGCATCTACTCTTTGTGTTCTATGAAATTCTGGATTCGTCATCATCTCTATCTTTCTGTTTCTAAACTTATTTTACTCAACTATACTTCTCGGATCATATCCTCGAACCCTAATCTATCTGATTACTGTTAATACTTCTACTACTATGGGTTTTGAACTGACAATTCACTCTGTGTTTTAATGTGCTATGAAAACCCGAATTGATGTACATACGTATGAAGTTCTACGTTGTAGCTGACTGGCTGACTAAACTAATTAATTAATTTTGACGTTATTGCTTGCATTATCTAAGCCTTTAATAGACAACGGAACTCATTAATAAGTTGTTACTACAGCGTAACTCAGATTATACAAACACTATGTGATAATACTTTCTTTCGGCAAACAGTATCAGTATGGTAGCTCGTCGTATTTTTAATCGTGACTGACTTTACCTGATCTTTGCATTATTCAAGTCTCGGAAAAAATCTCAGACTACTTCACTGGTTATTTTTAGCACGTGAGTTTTCTTACTGTGATCACACTTGACAGTGTCGAATGGAAGGCCCGGGTTCGATTCCTAGCCGAATAGTACCGTTCCCTCTGAAATCCATCTGAAACTACTGCTGGTCCCACGCCAGGATATAGGAGTAGGGTCGTGCATGGTGTTAGCGAACCCATCCCGTAATATAGATTTAGTTATTATTAGGAGTTATAAGGTGGCAAAATCAAAAAAGATGCCCTGGAAGTAGATAGAACACATCTGAGGAAAGCAGTTAACTACATCACAGTACTAGTTCTCATCTGGAATCCACCAGACCAAAGAACACATAACGCCAAAAATTGGAGGCAAACATGAAAAGAATGAACAGCAATAAGATTGAATTTTAAATGAACGCCCATGACAGAGTAGGCTGGAGAATGCTGGTCGAAGGCCCATGTTGTTTTAGAGGGAACAGGTGCAAATAAGTGTGTGTGCTAGGCGCAATCACCGTTCTTACATTAGTTAGTTTAGAAATGTTGATATTCTTACCACCAAAACACAAGCGTTTGACATACACAGAGTAGCTCAAAAGATTATATGAGACAAAAGTAATCCATATGGAAGACAACTGAGATTATTCAAATGCTAATAGAAGGCGATTCTTCTAAAGACTAAATAAGCTGTGATGAGCCAAAAGTATATGAATATCAGGAATGTGATAAACTTATAGAAAAAAAATATAAACATTGAATGATAAACAGCTGCAGAAATAAACGTACAGAAATCTCACTCGTTGATCTCATCGTCAACAAGAAGCTTTTTCGAGTCTTCAAACCTTTACCCAACAATTACACGTGGTTCAATTACGTCAAGTGAGAATTGTAATCTCTGATAATGTGTAATTAGAAAAACTCAATAGTGGGAATACCGATGTGATATGTGAACGTAGATGACGGTTATATCAGTGATCGGTCCACCTGACCGTTGATGATATGCGAACGGTTGATGTGTGAGCGATATTCGATAAAGCAGGCAAACAAAGAACAAAACAGTTACGAAGATTCAAGGTTGCATTCAATATCCAATTTGTTTCTGACGAACAAATATGAACCGAATGATTACGTTGCATTCTAATCTTGTTCTTTCAGTACAATTCCAAGTATTCTGTAGTGTTCAATGGATGCGAGTTTACTCAATCGACTGCACTAATTCTAGTCGGTTTGCAGTTGTTTGTGAGTTTCAATGTCCATGATTTAAGAGAATACATTTGATTAAGGAAATTAGGGTTTCTGGATACCAGCAGCTATCACGTTACCAGGTCGGAGATCAGTTGGTTTCAATGTGGAGAATAATATTACGAAAGTCCCAATGCTAACAAGAATATTCCAGAACTAAGTAAATAAATGCATAATATTGGTAGGGAACACTGTGCGAGAGGATTGTAGTGTTAGCAATAAAGAGGAAGCAGAGATAATAATACGAATAGATTGAGTTAGTGATCTGAGGAGTTGGAGATAATAACGACTAGCATGTCTCTAGACATGCATCAGATAGAGATGGTCCTTGAGGGAGATGATAATCCGTATGTGAGTACGTGTTAATCAAGTCTCTTCTTGGAGCTATCCACTGAAAAGGCTTTACATGCACTTTCTCAACGTTTACCGTGGGGGCATGGTGGTTACGCTTCCGCAGGAAGGTCGTGTTAGAATTAATCGGTGAACTTATAGTGTTGTATGCCTCATCAGATCACTTCTGTTTCTTCTTTAACTCAGGGAGAATAATCTCAAGTGCTGCAGTCTATTTTCGTAAGTTTTGATTTTCGACACTATCACCTATTTTGTTGCTTGTCTCTGCACTCTATTCAAAAGCTTTATGCCTCTTTTGAGGAGAGGCATTAACCTCAGAGTGTGTGCTCTCGTACGTTTTCAGCAACTGTACTAATAATTCTGAAGTAGTAGTACTGAGCTGTCTTCGCATTGAGTGAAGCGTTTCAATTGCCTTGGCTGCGTCTCCGACATTGTTTGAAATGGTGTGGAGGCTTTCAGTGGTTACTAAACCGAAATCGGGCTCTACGAGTGTGTTATAGAGTGTACCTTACGTGATACTTTGACTGGTTTAGTTTTAAACGAGTTTTCGCTCCCCCAATTAACATTACATGTAATGTCTCTTTTAAGCTCAGTCATGACTTGAAAAAGACTACGTATTATAATGATAAATTCACCAAAAGTTTTCGATTTGTCTCGACGTTTTTGCTGAAAATTCAAATGCATTAACGAAGATGTGCTTTGAGATTTAAAACCCATCTGTGCAGGACCTGTCCCAGATTTTTGCTAACAAACACGTGGACGATGATTGATTAAGGATTTTGCAGAATTTCAGCAAGTTTACATTTTGGGAACCAGATAAATGACAGGTATTTACAAGCTTTCGTTAAATGAAGGCTAAAAGTGAAAACTACTTCATTTCATCTTGATCTTATTTGAGCAATCAATGTCCTTGATAAAGTTTTGAAAATGATTGTCCTATGGTTTGACTTCTTTAAGAACTAGTCACTTCCGAAACTACTGTAATCAGGTTAGGAAAACGCGATTTAATGAACATAGAGTTGGACTCCTCATTTCACATCAATGGATCAGTGACTTGAACACTTTACTCAAAAAGTTAAAAGCTTTCCATAAAAAATCTAGATCTCCACTGGATTGCCGTAATTTGACAAACCTAATTTCTTTATTACTGCAAATAAAACCGAGTGATGTTGCTGATAAATGCGGCGTCACACTCTGAATACTGTGCTGTCCCAAATGTTCTTTTAGCCAGAAATGCAGCAGTTAATATGAAAAACTAATTTTTAATAAGTGGCCAATTCTTGAAGATTGAACGACATCAAATAAAGGATGAATAAAGAGAAATTCGCTACTAATAAACAAAATAATTTCATTTATTTACTTAGTTCTGGAATATTCTTGTTAGCATTGGGACTTTCGTAATATTATTCTCCACATTGAAACCAACTGATCTCCGACCTGGTAACGTGATAGCTGCTGGTATCCAGAAACCCTACTTTCCTGAATCAAATGTATTCTCTTAAATCATGGACATTCAAACTCACAAACAACTGCAAACCGACTAGAATTAGTGCAGTCGATTGAGTAAACTCGCATCCATTGAACACTACAGAATACTTGGAATTGTACTGAAAGAACAAGATTAGAATGCAACGTAATCATTGGGCTCATACTTGAAAGAAAATTATTAGATACTGGATGCTAACGAAAATACAACTTATTCAACTATTTGAATCTAATGTATGCACTTCAAATTTATCTTGAAATTTGTTAAGAAATACATCGAGGTAATCTGGAAGCAAAAATCAAAACGCTGAACGAGATAAATACTACGTTTTTGTTTTTCTGTTCTATTTGTATAAATTTAGGTCGTCAGTGATTTTTCGCAGTGTTTAGTTTTCATGGTCTAAATATTGGGTACAATTTATAATGGGCATGCACAAATCATCCTCTCTTTTCGTATTGCAAAGTTTAGGAAGTTCAGTACTTAAAATGTTAGTGCTATCTACAAAAATAATAAGTATAATGATTATTTTGCTTACTCATCTGAAGTTTATTGTGTTTACGCTTCATGAAAGACATTTAGTACACGTTTTAAAGCATATATATATCGTATCAATGAATGAAGACTATATATTTATTTTCACCGATATTTTCTATATGTTTGTCCCTATTTTATTTGCTATCAATATTCACTATGTTTGATCTTCACGGTAAACATTTGCAGCGAACCCCACATACCATGTGAAGTTGACTGGATAAGTTTGTACAGAAGTTAGGAGCTGTAACATCCCGTTTAATGGTAAACCAGTATTAACCGTATGATTGTATACCAGCGATTCATAATGAAGTTTATGTACTGTTTAAAATCCACGATCCATGATTTGACACGGATTACTTTCAAAATGTTGTGTTGATACCTATGGTCATTTTTCACAGCTTCTTGAAACCAACTTGACAGATTGTTTTACCCCATTCAGTTTTCTGAGTGTAAGTATTGAGCAATTGTTTAAGGCAGTCGGCTTGCTCCTGATAAGTTTGTAGATAAAAAACGTTAGTCAGCACAATTTTCAGAAGTGGTTTAGAGTATGAATAGTTGCGATATTTTGATTGACGCACTCGAAATACTCCTATTCGTAGGTCATGTACTGAAGTATCTTGGATTAGTATATTTTAGACATTCAGTTTGGGTGACGTATACAAGACAAACGTCAATAGTCTACTTAGTGAATTATACACTCCACAATCTTCTTATAAGGTAAATAATAACTCCGATTTGCTTATTATACTATAAATAAAAGACTCATACAAAGTCAGCATATATAAATAATACTTAGGTCACAGATGACTGAGGTACAGTTATAGGTCTAAAAGTACAAGACTGGGAGAAATAATGCATATAATAGCCAAATTAAAATATATGATTAAACATCATAAGAATTCCTGTTACCTTATGAAAATAATAATGATAACAGTAACCAGTCAGTCAATTAATGCAAGTGATGATTGAGGATACATAAAACATATCCTAAATATCTTAGCCGACAAAGATTTACTGCCTTATCAAGAAGTTAACCACGTTCCTAGTTCCTCAAAATCGCTCTTACGATCATTCCTTCAAACACAACATTGTTCAGAGATGAGCAGCTCAAGTACATCTTTAACTTCTGAAGCTCGTGTTTTCTGGAGCAAACTAAAGTAAAGTGTCTTTTCGGTATTAGACATCTCATCTAGATCAATAGTGATGCAATTTGCAGAGATTACTAAACTTTCTGAATCTGTATCTCGATTTCGCCATAAACTGAAACCAACTAGATTTCCAGGTAATTACTGCACTCAACTACTTCACTCCCTATCATTATTTCAGGTGTTTACGGAGATCACATTTGAAATAACGGTTCGCAATAATAGAGAAAGTGACACACCTAAAAAGTGTTCGCATTGTTGCGCAAGACATCAAAAGACTGAATTTCCTCAGCGTCTTTATATAGGACTATGTCCTCTGCGAGTACCAATGCGACAAGTTAACCTGTCTGTATTAGGTCAACTGCTGGAAAGTAAAGTGAAGAAAGTATCTTTTTTAGGTGGACTACGAAGATAAGTAGGGTTAGTGGTCACATCTGACGAATGCTGCTTGTGGTTGACAATCCCCGTAATAGTTTTCCATAATCTTTAAGTCTGAAACTATTGGTTTATAATATGAAATTCATGTTATTCACCAAATATCTACCTTGCATTGTGTTATATATTAAAATCTGTACAAAATTTGTGTTATCTTATGTACTGGAAGAATTTATGTGAAAATTCTCATTTGATATAAATAGGAATCCAACCTTCTTCATGTGCGAAGTGTTTCTTCAGGGACTAAGCTATATCGTTGTGTTAAAATTTTCCGGTCGGATAGGATTATCATATAGTACGGTTGAAGAAATTAAGTTACAGCCGGAAATCGATTAAGGTGAAGCATTTGTGTCCATCCTTCCCTAACAAATCTCGAGTTTTTTCTGACATCCTAATTCCTTCAAATTTTGATACCTCTCTTTCCTTCTGTTTAACTTCCTATTGTAATGCATATTCTCAAAAGGCATCTTGCCATAATTGGGATTGTTTTAATTTTGTTCATGTAAGCTGTAGCAACTCAGATCGTTGTATATTTGTGTCGAGTCAAACGTTATCATTGAGCTTCAACTAATTAACAATTATCTTAATGCTTAAATTTATTTTCAGTATGAATATTAAGGGCTTAACTGTAAGTATAAGTAGCATTATCTTTCCTAAAATCATTATTCACGACATACCTGTGCTACACTTCCTCTTTTTATGCTAGCCACATTGTCAACATCTCTACTTGTTGAACGCCTGTAAATGAGCTGTAATAGCTGTGTTCTCAAAGATCACTTTGCTCTACCACGGGAGGTAATTGTTTACTTCTAAACAGAAAATATTTTATAAAACCCAGTGTTCCAATGCCAGATACATCAGCGAATTAGCACATAATGAACAGATATTGAAAGAAACGAAATTAAAACAATTTTTAATAAAAGAACAAAAACGATCAAAATTGTACAGGACCTTGGTCGCCAAAGTTAATTCCAGTTGTATTGATGACGTAAGAACGTACAAACACTTTTACCTTCAAGTTTAGAAACCTTTATCTGCTTTGCCAGCTGAAAAAATTCCTACTTTTTTGCCTCGCAATGCATCGTGTGATACCACGAGTAGAGTAGATTGTCAAAGTAATTTCAAGACTTGATTTTTATTTATAATCGTATAAAACTTTAATTTTTCAGCGTACAATGTCATTGGTGATCACAGTGAAGTACTAGACAACGTAAGTTTAAACGTTTTAGAAGCGTTATCTTCTATTTCCTGCTGCTGTTATCTCTTATCAAAAGGTTGTCACCTCTACGGAGTTCTCATTCCTGTTTAAACCGATTGTTTTGTCGAATAATCTTAAAATATATACCTATGCTTTTTATGTGAGGGAAATTTTTGTCTACTTGTTTTTTGAGGATTACCACTGATGCTAAAGAACACAAATAATCGACATGTTTCGGTATGTGCGCATCCGGTGTTGAACACCTCAATATTTACTCCAAGTCACTAGCATTTTGAGCAGAGACAGAGCAGTTGCTAGCAAAGGAATCCAGAATATGCCACCGAGCCCCAAATGGAACGAAACGTGCTTTCTGGATTCGAACGTTAGCCACCACCTAAATATGATTATCATCAGTTAAATTATTTCTAAGCATATGTTTAAACAAAGTAGGGACATCTATCTAAACGTACAAAATAAAGCAGGTAAAAAATTTAATAATTATATTAATAACTCTAATCCTAGATTGTATGCAGCTAATGAGAAACTGTGAAATTGAATGAATTAATTTTATTTTGCAAACCTTGTCCTTCTCGCTCAGTTTAAATTTATCAAGCAATCTAGTTGTACTAAATACACATGATAAAATTAACATTCCAAGTAGTTTGAAATCGATTTCAGTCGGTAAGGTCTAGAAGTCAAAAACTTGTGCTAATCATCTATATTTAAGTATGTCACGTTATCCAACCTTATTGACTTTGTATCGGCAAATAAAGATAAAGCCAGCAGTTCCAGATGTTGGCCGATCCGAACGCAGATTGTGTAGTAACTCGTTTCTTATAATATTTAATGAACTAAATTATAATTCAAACAACTTAAAACACTACAATCAATCTATCTTTACAAAAGGACAGAGTTCATTATATAATAAATAATAAGCGAAAATCTCGAGTATCTCCGTTATAAATCACGTATAAGTTATTTTCAACTGTCAGTTACTTTAGTATGACTGTAACTTAATATTCGAAATATTCATTCTTGCTATATGTCATATTAAAAAAATATAGCTTTTCTAGAAAATACCTTACATACTACTGAGATATAAAAAGTATATTTCTATTGTAATCTTCACGTGATTCGATAAGGATATTTGTTCAAACGATGATCGTTCCTTACAATCCTCTCTATATTGTTACATGTATAATTGCGAACCTTAGTTTTGGTGAAATTTTATATGTTCTTATAAGACTAAAATGCATTTTGTATACTTTTTTTTCAAAATAACTCCGAAAGTTTTCGTTTAGTCATCTGTTGATGCATCGATTTGTCTCGTAAGCTGACTTGTTTATTAGATGCCATAATGTCTGGTGTTGGAGATTTTTTTCTAAGCTTTACTTTTTTTTTCATGTTATTCAGTCAGAAAAGTTTTCGGCGCAATCACCTAAACACGACATTAGTCTATCTAGTCGTACAACAATAACAAATACTACTACTCATAATATTGATAAATACATTGAAGAAAGTATTGATAACTTATCAAATCGTGCTAAGGAGTTATCACTTCATAGTTTCCCTTATCTTGTGAATAGTTTAAAACTAAAAACGTTTAGTTTATATGAACATAAAGCTAGACAATTGAGACAAGCAGTTGGAAGACGTGTTTATTCAGATGCTGAACGTAAAAGGGTCTGTGATTTACGTCGAAATAAAGAAGATCTAATTTTGTCGGAAAATATTAAAGGTAATCTAACTTTTTTCACTTCCTTCTACTGTTACTTTATTATCCTAATTCATGAATTGAAAGGTTTGTCAGTATGGGGTTTTAGTTGTCTAAAAACACTTGATGATAATAAACTTAACATAATCTATACACAAGTTAACTGAATACGTCTTTCAGTTAAAGACTGGTTGTACCGAATTATTACTCATTCTTTATGTTCTTCCAAATTTAAAATTCTGATGATTTTCATTCTCTTCTCAAATTCATCTTACTGGATTATACTCCTTGAATAACATATTCAAACCCTAATCTTTCCGATTACTGCTCATAGTTCTACTGCTTCTACCATTATGGAGTTTAATTCGACATTTGCATCTCTATGCTATCGTGGTATAGCAACTTGAACGCAGTTCTATTTTGTTGCTGACTGACTGACTGTACTGAATTAATGTTAAGGTATTATCATATATAGCAAATTTAGAATCTATGAGTTTAAGAATTTTATTTATATGATACAAACCAATAAATATACTACTTTGCCATCACTAAAATGGTGTGGCTTCACAAATCAAAAAGAATTAAGATAAGTCCAAGATAACTTGTTATAATTGGGGGTGGGAAGACTCTCCTCTTCCTTTTGAATCATTTTCATACATTAGCAGATTCTCTGTTCTGCTTAGAACGTAACGATGACGTTTCTGCAAAAATTCGACAACAAAACCATGTAGAACTGATTTGCTAAACTGCAAAATTAAAGAAATACGTACAGTTTATCGTTGAATACGCTGCTAATAAACATTGTCTATATGCTTGTAAATTGATTTTATGATAAGATAAATAAGGAAGTGATAATTTTTTTGGTGATTTTAAAAAAATTAGGTTTCCTCAAACATCCTGAAGCACCGATTTCTCTTGTTGTCAAGACTAGCTAATATTAGCCAAAGTTTTTCCTCTAAACTGGTTAAGAATCTTCTCTCAGCTTGGTTAAATGACACTACTTTTACCTATGGCTTATTTCCTTAGAAATCACTGCAAGTTTATGTGTTTGTCAAACTGATTTCCCCGTATCTAGAATTTTGAGGTAAAGCTTAGCGATCTATCGATTGAATCTCAGTTCATTTTCGCCTGAAACATTTTCGATGACCAAGATTTAATAAGACAGCTTTGATTAGTTTTGATGCAAATACTTTAGACTAGTATAGTAGGAACCGACTCAGAAGCTTAAATTGTATACTGTTCTTGAGAAGTAACCTACAATCATATAATTTTCACCTTATGTTCATAAAGGTGTAATCGTGAATCATCAACAGTTGATGTAATTTCAAATTCATATAATAGTATGTTGATATTGTTTTTAGTCAGTTCTAAGACTTCATTGATCTATTTGAAAGCCAGCGAACACTTATCTTACATGTTTAATGGTTTTAAAGCTTCGTATTTTTATCGTGCTAATTTATTTAATGAAGTTGAAGAATTGACATTTCTTTGCAATATGCATTGAATATTTTTGCATCAATTATTGTTTGTTTTTCTAGCTAAAGCTGAAAAACATTTTCGTAATTTAAAATCCAATAAAACTTTAGAGTCATCTTATCATTCCGATAAAAATTCAACACAGATTATATCTACTAATAAAAATAATTTGACAATCAATATGCATAACAATCCAACTAATGAAAATAAACTTAACACTGATCGGAATCAAGTGTTGCATAAATCAGTATTATCCTATTCAGAAAATACTGATTTGTTAAATTGCAATGATAACAAAGAACTGTAAGTCAATAAGTAATAATATGTTTTCTTTCCATGCTTTTGTATTACTTAATATGAACAAAATAGCCGCGTAAATATTTCAATTACTTACTTACTTACTTACGCCTGTTATCTCCAATGGAGCATAGGCCGCCCACCAGTTTTCTCCAACCAACTCTGTCCTGGGCTTCCGTTTCCAGTTCTTTTCAGTTTTTGTCCATTCTTCTCAAATCTTTCTCTATTTCTCGGCGTAATATGTTCCTTCGTCTTCCTCTTTTCTTTTGCCTTGAGGGTTCCATGCGAGGGCTTGTCCCGTGACGCGGTTAGGTGTTTTTCGTAGTATGTGTCCTATCCACTTCCACCGCTTCTTCCTGATTTCCTCCTTCATTGGAATCTGGTTTGTTTTCTCCCACAGTACGTTGTTACTGATCATGTCTGGCCAACGAATCCGAAGTATTTTGCTTAGATAGCTGTTAGTTAATACTTGTATCTTCTGGATGATGGCTTTGGCAGTCCTCCAAGTTTCTGCTCCATACAGTAGAACTGTCTTGACATTTGTATTGAAAATCGTGATTTTGGTTTTGGTTGAAAGTTGTTTGGAGTTCCAGATGTTCTTCAGGTGTATAAATCCTGTCATTGCTTTGCCGATCCGCGCCCTCTCATTTGCGTCAGATCCACCTTGCTCGTGAATGATGTTGCCCAGATATGTAAAGTTGTTAACGTCTTCCAAGGCACCTCCATCAAGTGTGATTTGATTGGTGCATGTTGTGTTGCATCGGAGAATTTCGCTTTTTCCTTTATGTATGTTGAGACCTACTGCTGCTACACTTGTCGTCTTGCGTTTGTTGCTGCGTGTGTGATAGAAGAGCCAGGTCATCTGCGAAGTCCAGATCGTCCAGCTGCGTCCTAACTGTCCAGTTGATAACGTGCTTCCCTCCAGATGTCAACATCTTCATAATCCAGTCGATCACCAGGAGAAAGAGAAACGTTGAGAGTGCGCAACCTTGCCTGACACCGGTCTTCACCTCAAACCATTCTATAGCTGTCCTTCGTGTACGATTTTACAGTTGAATCCATCATAAGAATTCCGTATGATGTTGACTATTTTCTCAGGCACACCGTAGTGTCGAAGAAGCCTCCACAGTGTTTTCCTATCCATGCTGTCAAATGCTTTCTCGTAGTCAATGAAGTTGATGTAGAGTGGTGAGTTCCGTTCAATTGATTGTTCCACAATGATCCGTAATGTCACAGTTTGGTCAGTACACGATCGATCCTTACGAAATCCAGCCTGTTGTTCTTGATGCTGGACATCTACAAGTGCCTTCATCCTGTTTAACAATACCCTGTTAAAGACTACCTGGTATTGATAGAATAGTGATGCCTCTGTAGTTCTCACACTTGCTGAAATCGCCTTTCTTTGGTATTTTGATCAAGTATGCTTCTTTCCAATCTGATGGTGCTTGTTCCTCATCCCAAATCTTCTTGAAGAGGATATGAAATATTGTCGCAGTTGCTTCTACATCTGCTTTCATTACCTCTGCTGGAATGTTGTCTGGTCCTGCTGCTTTGCCGCTCTCGATTTGTCTGATGGCCATACTGATCTCCTCAATCGTAGGTTCGCCAATATTAATAGGGAGGTCCATGAATGCTGCTTCGATGTTGTGTGTGTTCAGTGGAGCTGGTCGATTCAAGAGTTCCTTAAATTGCTCTACCCACCTATTTCTCTGTTCTTCAGTGTTGCTGATTACTTTACCTTCCTTGCTTTTCACTAGTCGTTTTGCTTTACGATTATTTCCGGTGAGCTTCTTTGTTGTTTCGTACAATTGTCTCAAGTTTCCCTCTCTTGCAGCCTTTGCTGCCGTCATTGCTAGATCTTCCACATATTTTCGTTTGTCAGCTCTGATGCTCTTCTTCACTTCCCCGTTCGCCTCTGTATATGCAGCTTGCGCGGTAACTTTCTCTGCTCTTTGTCGGCTGACATTGATTGCTGCCTTCTTGTTCCTCCTTTCTTCAATTTTTGCAAGAGTGCCAACAGAGATCCAATCCTTGTGATGATGCTTTTAGTGACCCACGACCTCCTGACATATTGAAGTGATTGCCTCCCTGATCCCTTCCATATTGTTCTCCAATGTTGCTTCCTCTCCATTGAGTATATTGTGCAAGGCCTGGACCCTATTGCTGAGGGCCATCTTGACTTCGTTGAGTTTTACGGTACCCCAAAGAAAGGCTGTAATAAACTTGTGTGATGTTGTCTGTCCCGTTGTCCAGTGCTTCTTTAGTTTCAGTTTCATTTTGGCGATTAGCAAGTGGTGATCTGAGGCTATATCAGCTCCTCTCTTGGTTCTTACATCCTCCATGGTCCTTCTGAACGTTTTGTTGATACAGATATGGTCAATTTGGTTTTGAGTAGTGTGGTCCGGTGAAATCCATGTGGCTTTGTGTATACGTTTGTGCGGGAATATTGTGCCACCGATGACCAGTTTGTTGAAGGCACATAGGTTTGCAAATCTCTCACCGTTTTCGTTCCTTTCTCCCAGTCCATGTCGTCCCATGATGTCTTCATACCCAGTGTTGTCCATGCCAACCTTGGCATTCAGATCTCCCATAAGAATCGTCAAATCCTTTGGTGAACATTTATCGACGATTGACTGCAGCCTTTCGTAGAATTGATCTTTATCGTCGTCATTGTAGTCGTTGGTAGGTGCATAACATTGGATGACGTTCATTGTAATGTCCTGTTTCTTTGTTTTGAAGGATGCTTTAATGATCCTGGGTCCATGAGATTCCTATCCTATTAGTGCCTTTTGTGCATGTTTGGACAGCATCAGTGCAACTCCTTGTGTATGTGAAGCATTTTCCTCTTCATGACCAGAGTATAACAGCAGTTCCCCTGAAGCAAGTCTCAGTTGTCCTACCTGTGTCCAATGCGTTTCACTGATGCCGAGCACCTCGAGGTTGTATTTTTTCATTTCTGCCGCAACTTGAAATAGTCTTCCAGTCTCCCACAATGTACGAACGTTCCATGTACCTAAAAGAATCGATGCTCTGGTTGTCAGAAGGGGCATCGGCCTCGTGACTTCCGAGGGAACTCGGCTTTCATTACGCGACGTCATAATTCTTCTTCCAACTCCCGGGGCAGAGTTAAAATGGTTTGAATTATTTTTTCTGGTTAGCGTTTTTTGGCAAGTTAGTTTTTGACGGAATGGTGTCGCTAACCCTATGTCCAACTCTCCTCCTTTATCCGGGCTTAGGACCGGCAGTAGCCCCGAAGGTTCTATTGGCGGAGTTAGTAACCAATCTAATCATCAATTATTGAATTCAATCATTTGAATTTGTTAATATCACAATTTAATTAAATCTTAAGAAATCATTAATAAATAAACATAGAATTAGTAACTAATCGTCAAAAGCACATTAAATTACTTCAGAATCAATGCATACTCTGCATTGTATTAGGATCGACAGAATTGAGTAAATTCTTCAATAGTTCATTCAAATACTTAATTGTTGGTAGATAGTTTAAAGACAGAGACATGATTTGTGTGTAACAAACAATCGTCTTTTTGTTTATAATTGAATCTTCTATTTTATATGTACATGTCAACTATTATTAATTAGTCTAATATTGTGATATATCATTCAATAGATTAGAATGTTACATATATATAACGTTTTAATGCATAGATAACTGTTCAGGTTGTATTTGATTATCTGTTGCATTGTATATACACTCCTGTCATAGCATTAGAATTGATCAGATAGATAGTCTGGAGCAAACTATTCTATTCGAATAATATGTTATTGATTTATCACCAAAATGTTATACATTAAGCATATTTGCATTTTATTATGAATCATATTTAAAGCAACTGACAATCTGTTAACTAAAGTATACTTATAATAAGTATTTTGTAAGTGTGTCTTCTGTGCACCAACTCTTAACAAGTTGAAACGTTAGGTAATTATTATTATGTGATTTGCTATAGACGTTACTTAAAAAAATAAGACAAATGTCAAAGAACGACATTGAAGAACGTTCTTCACCTATATAGTGGCCGCGTTAAATTCGAAGTAGGGTTCACAACTTCGGTGGCTCGCGATCTGACTATAGTTTGGATGAACATTTCAATACCATGAAATAAATCTTCCCTCCAATTTCCATATATCATATTTAGGCGTACTCCGTTTGTGCAACGGCGGTAATGAGAAGTCAAATACGGTTTTATGGACATGAGGATAAAAAAATTACTAGCCAAGAGAAAAACAGAAGGTAAGCTAGTCAACTCAATGAGATGAAGCATGACTGGGTACTTATAGTCAGATGAAAACAAGCCAGACATATAATAAGCGAAGTAAGAATGCACATACACCTATAAAAACAATCAAAGATATTAGCAAATAATTTACCCGACGAAATGACGGGTGGGAAATGTTGATTAGTTTGTTTGAAGGCTGAGACAGGCCGTATGGGCTCGACATACTGATACACATACTACACCTAGTAAACCTTCGGAGTTTTCTGACAGCCGATCGAATCCCTTATTTACTTACTTACGCCTGTTGCCCCTAATGGAGCACAAGCCGCCTACCAGCGTTCTCCAACTTACTATGTCCTAGGCCTTCATTTCCAGTTCTATTTTATTGCTGTTCATTCTTTTAATGTGTGTCTTCGATTCTCGGCATAGTTTTTTCAGGTCTGAAGGATTTTAAGGGACAGCTTGTATTGTGACGTAGTTGGCTGCTTTCCTCAACGTGTGAATCCACTTCTTTCTGATTTCTTCGTCTGCTCGAATCTGGTGTGTTCTCTTCCACAGTAAGTTGCGGCTGATAGTGTCTGACCAATGGATCCGAAGTATTTTGCTTAGATAGCTGTTAGTTAATACTTGTATCTTCTGGATGATGGCTTTGGCAGTCCTCCAAGTTTCTGTTCCATACAGTAGAACTGTCTTGACATTTGTATTGAAAATTCCGATTTTGGTTTTGGTTGAAAGTTGTTTGGAGTTCCAGATGTTCTTCAGGTGTATAAATCCTGTCATTGCTTTTTAGATCCACGCACTCTCATTTGCGTCAGATCCACCTTGCTCGTGAATGATGTTGCCCAGATATGTAAAGTTGTTAACGTCTTCCAAGGCACCTCCATCAAGTGTGATTTGATTGGTGCATGTTGTGTTGTATCGGAGAAGCTTGCTTTTTCCCTTATATATGTTGAGACCTGCAGCTGCTACACTCGCTGTTTCCTCTTGCATATGTTGTTGCGTGTGTGATAGAAGAGCCAGGTCATTTGCGAAGTGGGAATCGTCCAGCTGCATCCCCGATGTCGACTTTATCCCGTGCTTCCCTCTAGATGTTGACGTCTTCATAATCCAGTCGATCACCAGGAGAAAGAGAAAGGTTGAGAGTGCGCAACCTTATCTGACACCGGTCTTCACCTCAAACCATTCTGTAGGCTGTCCTTCGTGTACGATTTTGCAGTTGATTCCATCATAAGAATTCTGTATGATGCTGACTATCTTCTCAGGCACGCTTCAGTGTCGAAGAAGCCTCCATAAAGTTGTTGTGTCCACGCTATCGAATGCTTCCACGTAGTCAATGAAGTTGATTTCGAGTGGTAAATCACATTAAGTTGATTGTTTCACAATGATCTGTAATGTTGCATTTTGATTAGGACACAATCAATCCTCAAGGAATCCAGCCAATTGACCTCGAAGTTGTGCGTCTACAAAGTCCTTCATTCTGTTTAACAACACTGTTGAAGTCTATGCCTGGTATTGAGAGAAGAGTGATGCCTATGTAATTCTCACACTTGCTGAGATCGCTTTTCTTTGGTATTTTGATGAGGTATCCTTCATCCCAGCTTTTCGCTGATCTTTCTGGTTTTAGATGATTGCCAGCAAGCTTCTTTGTTGTATTGTACAATTATCTCAAGTTTCCTACTCTTGAAGCCTTTTCCGCCATCATTGCTACATCTTTCACATATTTACGTTTGTCGGATATATGATGTAGATGTAGATATTGTCTATTTGGTTGTGTAGTTTGATCTGCCTAAATTCATGTGGCTTTGTGCACGCGTCCATGTAGGAATATGGTGCCGCCGATGACCAGTTTATTAAAAAACATATAGGTTTGCAAATCTCTCACCATATTCGTTCCTTCCTCCCAGTCAATGTTATCCCGTGATATATTCGTATCTATTGTTGTCCAGTTCAACCTTGGCATTTAGGTCTACCATCAGAATGATCAAATCCTTTGATGAGCATCTGTCGACGATTGACTGCAGCTTCTCGTAGAATTGATCCTTAGCGTCTTCATTGTAATCTTTGGTAGGCACATAGCAATGGATGTTCATTGTAATACTCTCTGTCTTTGTTTTGAAGGATGCTTTGATGATCCTGGGTCCATGAGATTCCCATCCTATCAGTTTAAATTATTTTTCCTGGTTAGCGTTGATCCAGTGAGTTAGTTCTCGTAGATGGGGTCGTCAACTCCACGCCCAAACCTCCTCCTTTATACAGGCATCGAACAAACAGTAGCCCCATAGGGGGCTGCAGGTATAGTTATAGCCGATAGAATGCATTTGGTTGGTTAAATAAAATTTCCAACTTTACGTTTATTTGCAAATTTCCATTCATCAGTAGAACGTATCTAGTTAGTGAATCGAACTGCGCAGCAGTGCGTTCCTTTCTACTTTACAAATGTGAAACATTGCCAGTAGGAAGAGTTTATTACAAAGCTACTAGGATTTGACCATAAATACCTTCAAAGCATTGCTCTAATATCCTTGGACCATCGAGTAAGTGATGCTGGGGTTAGGAAAAGGTTACTAGGTGAGGATGGCAGGTCAGTTAATGAATTAGTGGATCTTCATCAGTTGGGGTGGTTGGAACTTGCTACGAATGCGCAACCACCGATAACCTCGATGGGCGATGTATGATGTAAGAGTAGGCTGGGAGAAAGCTAGGGGTGGCCAAACCAAAACATCGCACAAATCCATCAAGTCACTGACTAAGTCATGTTAGTAGGTGTAGACTATCTGGTTGGGGTCTGCGAGACAGAAGTAACCGACAATTAAAGACTTTGAATGACATGGCTCAAAACCGTTTGTACTGGCGTAGATGAACCCTTTCTTTGTCTTCTTTCAAATTCGAATCTTCTGAATTACTTATGATCTCTTTTTATATTTATTTCACTGGCTTATACTTCTTAAATAATATCTTCGAAACTTAATTTTCTCCATTACCACTAATACAATACTCCTACCACTACGGAATTCGAATTGACAATTAGATCTGTGCTAATGTGGTATAGCAATTCAAACTGATGTACGTACCTACCAAATTCCAAGTTGTAACTGACTGACCGACTCATTCTGAATAGGAGTTTTTTATAATATCTAAATTAGCTTATCCTACAGTTTGTAGGTTCTTACCTAAAATTTCAAAACTCTAGACGTAAAACATCCGTTTAGAGTGACCCTGTGAAATATAAATCGTTGTATTAAGACTCATCCTTAACAATCTTTTTTAAGAAATAGATCAACTGGCATTGCTAGACATTACCACTGATCATAAATTTTCTGCATATTGATGTATTCTAGCCAGTCTATTTTTCAGCCTATTTATTGTTTAAACTAGGTCATAATAATCTCTTATTTGGTCAAAATGCTTTTTACTTTATATAGAAATCAAGAACAATCCGAACATGATGATCATAACGACGAAATGGTTTCCTTATGGCATCGTTTATCTAGTCGTCTGAATAAAAAAATCCCACCACTTTGTCTTTGTATGCAATATTCTCAGGATGAGATCGATGAAATTCCACAGTGGTTGAAATGTGCGAATAACTGTACATTTTATCATAATCCAGAAGGTATGAGCAAACATTTATGTTTTCTAACCTATCTAATTATCATATTACTATATATGTTGAAATAACTAATCGGTATATTCTCATGTACTAGTTGACCATAAATGTTAGTAAATCATTATTATCTTGAAATGTTGTGACCTAAAATCCTATGGTTACGTTACAGTTCTGTTGAAGACATGACGTTTCTGTTATTAGAAATGTTCAATGTAGCACAGTCGTTTAAGATTGACGAATCATAATAGAAATTTAGTTATTTTTACTCATTAAAACCCAACTGGTAGAAAATCGACACTCATTGGTTGATAATAAATAGACACTTTTGATTGCTTAAGTGAAAATTTTTATCAAAAAGAAGTCTAATAATTTCTGTTTTGTTTTTATCGTAACTGAACCAATTCATTGGTCATGGATTTAGTTTTTTGATCGCTAATTTGGTTTTTTTTACCATGAAAATGATGTTATTTATTTCTATTGATCTGTAATATATTTTCTCTTCATTCCACAGCTTTTTTGAAGGTGTTACTGGACTATATCCAATCGCTAAACTTGTCATAAGATCGAAAAAACAAATTCTTATCATAGTAAATGGCTACATTCTATAACATTCACAAATTTCGGATCATAGCTACCAAATTGCACTAGCTGATTCTACTGGAATACAATAGATTGATTAGAAATGTCTTTTGTTTTTATTTTCAAAAAACCAGTTTAAGATGTTAAAAATTATGCACAGCTTCATTTTATCGAATTTCATTCGAGTGACATAATCCCGGTTAATAGGCGTTAGCTTACAAGTTAATGTACTGATCGGTAAATTATAGGCGAATTATATCTACACTTATTTACATTACACTTTACAGCTATTAGGAACATCAAGTTAGTTAGTCTTAAGACTACAACCATATATGTAGTCTGAGCGATAAATATTTAACCAGCCATCATCAACGTAGAGGGCATATATTAATCAGATATTACGGTAACGTAAACTGATTGGATAGCATCTATATCACTGGCTGTTTCGACTGAAGATCATAAGTTAATTATACACAAAATGGAATCATTTATTGTAGTACGAAAAAGATACCAAGAATTATACAAGATCGGAAACATTCATTGGCATTTCATCAATTTGTGTAGAGTAGTACTGTTCAATGTCCCGTAAGATCTTTATATCATCCGTTTTTACGAAGTTAATTGCTACACCTTTACGCCCAAAACGACCTGATCGACCTATACGATGGATGTAAAGTTCACGATTGTTAGGTAAATCGTAGTTTATCACGAGAGATACTTGTTGAACATCGATTCCTCGTGCCCACAAGTCTGTTGTTATAAGGACGCGGCTGAAATACAAAATAAATTAACAAATGAATTACTAAAAGTTAATTTTATCGACTTTTATTCTTATACTTTGCAATAAAATAATTAGTCCCCACAATAAATTTGGATATTACAAATGACTAAACAAAGTTTATAACAACTATGTGATATATTAGCGCGATACATTTCAAACGTTCTGATTAAATAATTGTTGGCAGACTAAAACTAGGCAGAAATCCATGAAATCCTTGACAAGTGGACTGAGCGATTTGGTAGGTTTACACTACCTGGTTGCAGTCCGCGAGACAATAGTAACCGATGGTTAGAGACCTTGAATGACGGCCCAAAATCGTTCGCAATGGTACAGGTGCATCCATTCTTTACCTTCTCTCAAATACCAATTTTCTAAACTCCTCATGATCTTTTTTTCTTCCGAGATATACTTCTCGAATGATATCTTCGACCACTAATCTTTCACATTACCGTTAATACTTCTGCTACCTCTAATATACTATGAGATTCGAATTGACAATTCGATCTCTCTGCTAATGTGGTATGACAACTTGAACTGATGTACGTACGCACGAAGCTCTACGTTGTAGCTGACTGACTGACAGACTTTTTACGAAATTTATACATGAAAAATAAAATTGGAAGACCAAACAAAGATAATAAGGTAAATGATACAAATCACACCATGTTGAATAACAGATCAACGTAATCAGGTTCAGTTTAAAATGTATTGCGCTATTATATAAACAGGAAAAATAGAAATTCGTAACGAGACAGATAGAAAAGAAATAAAGAGATATATAGTAATTATGAGATGTTTTTAACTTGGAGTAGAATGTGCGCAGATTTCCATCCACTTCAACCGGTGATTAGTAATATTATAATTGAGTGATATTGCCACTATTGGTTTGGTTAAACTCTAACCAACACCAGATATCCAGAGAGTAAAGCGGTTCGACAAGACTTAAATATCGCCTAAAAGTTTCACGTAATGCAGATTAGTAAAATCACCTGATTAGAATTTCCCAACTTCAAAACTAGACACTCGGGAACTAGTAAAAAAATGCTATCCCAGGTAATTTATTTCATCAATATACATCCGGATTCCGACTTCTTAAAGATGTAGTGGATACACACAAAGAGATAACCTTTTAGTAGCCCAGAATTTGAATCCGATTTGGACAAACGATTGGATATTCTATGAAGTAAATCTTTCAGCTAATTTCCTTATCATTCTTAAGTGAACCCCATTTGTGCGATGGCGGTGATTAAAAGCCCAATACGGTTGTTTATTTCGGATGAACTTATTTCATGCATTCGCGTAGACAGACAGACAATAAAAAGAATCGTAAAAGTGAAGCGGAGAAAACGAGCGGAACAACTCAATATGATGAGGTATGATTAAGTATTTATAATCGGACAAAACTAAGCTAGACATGTAATAAACGAAGTAAGCAATGCACGTACACACAAATACCCCAGGTTATAAGCAAATAATTGACAAGGTAGGATTGTGACTCGCAAAGTTTGGGTCCCAGATACAACCAAACTTTTGTCAGCTACAAAACGCCAGCTGAATATTCAGATATATTTTCTTACAGCGTCCAGGAAACTGAAAAATTTTTAACAATGATCTAACGTACCACGACAGTATTGTGTATGGTTATTTAGTCAGTTATGAATTGTAAGAAGCACAAACTTTCTAATACTAGTACATCTATATTGAATTTTAATAAGAACTGTTGGGGATGTTAGATCCCCAAAATTCGCATGATAATGCCGTATTTTGGTTTTTACGTTTCGCCAGCAGGGGCTGATCAAATGACCTTGAGATTTCAATTCCCACCAGGAAAATCAATGGCTGTGATTGGCCACAGTGTATTTTAGTATGCTATTTTCTTAACTGTCTCAAGGACGTTGTTATGTTGTATAAATAAACGAGAGTTGTATGCTTGATTGTACTGGGATTGCTGGGTGCTTGTAGAATATACTTTCTACTCTTACCAAGACTTCTGTTTTCCCGTTTGGATTCAAGGTAGCCTTCCTGGAAGCTGGTAAAAGTCTCGTTCGCGTTTATCGACTAAGGTAAACTCGTAATAGCCTCAAGCATCCTAAGTGCCGAACATATCAGTGGCGACGGGGTAAAAACCATATCCACAAAACATATCAGTGGCGACGGGGCTCACAATTCACAATGTCAATTAATCTTGAACAGTTAGAATCTTTACTGGAACGTCAAGGTAGACGATATGAACAGTTCCAGGAACGTATGTTGGAGCTGTTAATGAAACAAATGAATTTGAATCACAGAGGTTTTGCCGATGATTCATATAATCCGCATACAGACTCGATAGTTAATTCCATTCATGAATTTCATTTTGATGGCCTTGCTGGTGTGACTTTCGAGTCTTGGTTTAAGAAGTATGAGGATTTGTTCAAGGTCGACCTCAACAATCTTGATGACGCCACCAAAGTCAGAATCCTTTTGAGAAAGCTCGGCACAATCGAACACGAACGTTACAGTAATTTCATCCTCCCAAAGAACCCACGAGATTTCTCTTTTGATGCTACAATTGATACGCTGTCGCAAATCTTCTCTGAACAGTCATCTCTCTTTAATATTCGTTATCAATGCCTCAAAATAATCAAGTCAAATGAAGATGACTGGGTAAAGCATGCTGGCTTAGTAAATCGTGAATGCGAACGATTTAAATTATCATCAATGACGGAAGATCAGTTTAAGTGCCTTGTGTTTGTGTGCAGCTTACAATCTCCCGACGATGCTGATATAAGAACCAGAATCCTAAGTAAAATTGAACAGTGCCCAAACATCTCGCTTCAAGAAATAACTGCAGAGTGCCAGAGATTAGTAAACTTGAAGCATGATACCTCCATGGTCGAAAACAAGGGCCTCTCATCATACGTGCATTCCATTAGTGAAAAGAAAAATTCCAATTCGGCCCAAAAACCCAAAATGAATCCACCTTCTGCTTGCTGGCACTGCGGTTCATGGCACTATGTACGGAACTGCCCATTTAGGCAGCATAGATGCAGGAAGTGTAAAGTCATCGGTCATAAAGATGGCTTTTGCCTACAGAAAAAGCCAAAGCGATCCAGAAGTGCTAAGAAGCCTGTTCCTAGATCCAGTACCAATGCATTGAGCCTAATATCTTCCTGCCAAAGTTCATCACCAGGTGAGAGGAAATTTATTACTCTTAATATTAACGGTTATTTGTGTAGAATGCAAATAGATACTGCATCTGATGTCACTATCCTCTCACGCAAAAATTGGACCAAGTTGGGCAGCCCAAGCCTGCAGCACACAACACAAAAGCCTCGCACAGCATGTGGTAATTATCTTCGTCTGTTAGGACAATTGGAATGTAAAGTTGCTTTCCGAGATTCGTCGTTTACTGGGGTATGCTATATAACGCCAGCTGATCTAAATTTACTTGGTTTAGATTGGTTCGACCAGCTAAAATTGGCTGATGTCCCGCTAAATACCATATGCAACCTGGTATCACAACGACATGACCCAGAAGCGTATACGAAGAACCACGCAGAATGTTATCTGACAACCGCAGTTCGCGCATTACCGGTGTCTGCAACAGACATACAAAATGCTTCTAGAAACGACCCCATCATCAAGATGACGATGAAATATGTCACTAACGGTTGGCCGTCGAAAAAGTTTGAAGGTGACATGAAGCAACTGTATCAGCGGCGGGAGTCACTATGCATCGTCAACGATTGTCTGATGTTTGGTGAAAGAGTAGTGGTGCCAGAATCCCTTCGTGCAAAAGTGCTGAGACAGTTCCATCTTGGTCATCCTGGGATTAAACGAATGAAGTCCATAGCCAGGAGTTATGCATACTGGCCTCACATGGATCAACATGTCACAGCGTTGGTTGAAAAATGCATGCGGTGTCAGCAGGCGGCAAAGATGAATGCCAAAATTCCGCCGGTTTCATGGCCCAAACCTGAGCATCCTTGGTCCAGGATACATGTCGACTTCGCTGGCCCAATAAATGGAACTATGTATTTAATTGTCGTCGACGCCTTTTCTAAATGGCCGGAAATCAGCCCCGTTATGCCGCCCACTACAACTAAGACTATACAGCTCCTAACTGAAATTTTCTCACGGAATGGCATACCAGATGTGATCGTATCCGACAATGGCTCTCAATTCACCTCTTCCCAATTCCAGAATTTCTGTCAACGGCTAGCTATTAAACACTTACGCTCGCCACCATACCACCCGCAATCGAATGGGCAGGCGGAAAGGTTTGTGGATACGTTTAAAAGAGCACTGCTCAAGTCAAAAGGGGAGGGGACGCCAGCCGAAACGTTACAAAATTTCTTGTACGTCTATCGGACAACACCAAATGAATTGTTACCGGAGCAAAAGTCCCCAGCTGAAATCCTGATGGGAAGAAGATTGAAAACGATTCACAGCCTGATGCATCCGACCAATGCACCCTCATCAGTAGAGACAAAGCAGCAAAGACAATCCGCTTACGAGGTGGGATGCCCTGTGTTTGCCCGCGACTACAGAACGAACCATGGTCCTTGGGTAGAAGCGAGAGTGGTCAGAAGGGTTGGTCGAGTTATGTACGAAGTAGAGGTAGGAGGTGATAAATGGTCACGTCATCGGAATCAGATACGCAGACGGCTAGCCCCAGATCGCCCATCAAGAGCAGAAAGCCTTCCCCTTGACATCTTGCTTGATACCTTCAACCTACCGAGAGCCCCGCCACGAGAAGAAACTCAGCAGCAAGCTGTTCTTCGTTCCCGAAGGTATCCCCTCAGACAGCGGCGAACAATAGTCAAGATGCAAGTCGACCCCAGGAGAACAAGCTATTAAAAAGGGGAGGAGTGTTGGGGATGTTAGATCCCCAAAATTCGCATGATAATGCCGTATTTTGGTTTTTACGTTTCGCCAGCAGGGGCTGATCAAATGACCTTGAGATTTCAATTCCCACCAGGAAAATCAATGGCTGTGATTGGCTACAGTGTATTTTAGTATGCTATTTTCTTAACTGTCTCAAGGACGTTGTTATGTTGTATAAATAAACGAGAGTTGTGTGCTTGATTGTACTGGGATTGCTGGGTGCTTGTAGAATATACTTTCTACGCTCCATAAACGAGAGTTGTATGCTTGATTGTACTGGGATTGCTGGGTGCTTGTAGAATATACTTTCTACGCCTACAAAGTCTTCTATTTCGATTCTGGGATTCAGGGTAGCCTTCCTGGAAGCTGGTAAAGTCTCGTTCGCGTTTATCGACTAAGGTAAACTCGTAATAGCCTCAAGCATCCTAAGTGCCGAACATATCAAGAACGGTATCAACGAAGACTTGGTTTGGCGAAGCTTGATTATGTAGTGCTTGCTGAGCATCGAAATTCTTTAAGAATCGATTAGTATAGTGATTGATGATTGCTTATACTTATAGTCAAGAGATTTTACTGGTTATTTACTTTGATATTCAACATCATGAATTATTAGAGGTTTTTAAGTACTATTTCTCTGGTGACCTAGAAGTGAAAAGATCTAAATCATGCAGGAACCACAATTTCTGTCTTTATTAGGAATGTTGGCAAAGTACTTTAATGTAAGTAGGATGGAATCTGAAAGTATCAGCTAAATAAATATATCACGTACATTCACACTACACCATTTGAAATCACGCAAAACAGATGAGGTAGTAACATTCACTAATTAAAGGAGAAATCATTGATTCTATAATGTACACGCTCAAGAGATAAGGTATGAGATTACACACATTCGATTATTATTTTATGAAGCCTAGTGGGTTTAAAGTGCTATGTTAGTGTTAGCTGTAATTTAAAGTTAGGAAAGGGAATCAACTGATTGGGTAGTAATTCGTGTGGTCTAGCACTGACGACATCGGGAAGAGCTCATCCGCTTCCACTACAAGGGAATTTCTGCTCACTTCCTTCATATGGTAGGGGTGTTGTAGTCTACAAAATCAAGGAGATAAAATGCAAATATCCAGAGTCTTAACCGGGTTGGTTGGTATTGAGAATCTATTTAGAGGAGCTAGGAAACTCTGATTCAAAATCAATGAAATATGAGCTCCAGGACTCTGAAGGGACATATGGTATGTGAACCTATTTTTGGTCATCTGCTACCATGGAATCACGTCTCCCAATGTTACGCCACTGAGTTGCGCATTGGACCTTTAGGTTAGGGACTCAAAGATTGGCACCCTAAGAAAATCACCTGCTTCGGATTGGGCACATGAGCAGTATCTCGCCCCACACACGTTCGATAATTCGTGTGGTGCATATATATTTCGGAGCCCTTTTGTATCAATGTTTACGTGTTCACATAAATAAAATAAATTGCAAGCGAGATCTAAAACAGTGAGAACATATACATTCACAAAACGGAATGGGAAAGCATACATAAATGAATGCTAGAAGTGAAGATCTAGGAGAGGCTAAAGAGTGAACACATTTGCACTATTATGATCCAAGTAGTAAAACTCGTAACTGTAATGAAACATATCAGAACTTTAGAGTGAATAGTATAAAAATGTAGAAAACAAATGTGCTGAACAACAAGCATATTTTTGAACATACCTATCGCCAGCTCGGAAATCTTTCATAATTTCTTCGCGCTCCTTCTGAACCATGTCACCGTGCATAGAAGCTACGGTGAAGTTATTTTTGAGCATTTTCTCCGTCAACCAAGCAACTTTACGTTTTGTATTGCAGAAAATAACAGATTGAGTAACAGTGAGTGTATCGTACAAATCACAAAGCGTGTCAAATTTCCATTCCTCTCGTTCCACTGCAACAAAGAATTGCTTTATACCTTCCAAAGTTAATTCATCGCTATAAAACGTCAGAAATATGAGTTCAAACAATCATAATTCTAACAAGACAGCAAACAAACTCAGCTTATATTAAAGTAGTTAGATATGCCAGGCGATAATTTTTAAGACAGTAATAATACACTCTGGTAATTTGTCTTAAAAATCACGGTGCATGATTTTACTGAAAAAGCGTATATTTCATTTTTGTGAAACGTCAATACTTACTTCGTACAGTGACAATAAAATCTGCTTATCGAAACTGGATTATTTACAATGCTTGAAGTCAGTGTCAGATTATCAGTCAAATCCAACTTATATGTGGATTGTGTTTTCCACTTCTACGTAACGTATACTTTATTTGTATAAAGACAAAGTTATATCCTACCTATCATCGTGAGCATGTAAATGTCTCCACCACTTTTGTTAATTACAGTTAATAAAGTTCCTAATACAGTCAAAGTGAACTCATACCAGGAACGTATGTTGAAACTAGTTAAGATCAAAAATTTATTAAGCTTCTTTTTTCTACATATATATATATATATATATATATATATATATATATATGAGAGAGAAAGCAAGGAGAGTTTGTTCCATCTTGTTAGCTTATTATTAATGACACAATCTTAGTATGAAATCAAACAAAAACACAAACTTTACAGGTCCAGTACCGTAAATCGGTATACTACTATGGGATCTGAATTGACAATTCGATCTCTCTGTGCTAATGCAGTATGGCAACTGGGACTGATGTGAATTGGAGAAACTTGTAGAAGCAGGAAATGAAGTCTGTTCCAATCATTTTTTTATCACCACTGTAGTGTGACTATTCAAACCCATATTCATCTACCAGGATAATTCATTAGCACAACTAACTCTAAAATAAGTGATCCGAAATCCCAGTTGATCAGTTACGATTAGTACAAATGTGTGAGCCAAAACTTCCCTACCATATTAGCGCTAGATGAAACAAACCATATGGACACAAAGTGAGATTTCCCCTGTTAAGATTGAAAAGACTTCCAAGGTAAATCAAGTGGTCAGCACACCCAAAAACTACACTCCCTGTGATCAACCCAGGTGATGATATAGACTAGTCTTGAAGCAACACAACCTAGTTTACAAATCAGCATTATAATACTCAGCGCAATGTTTGTCCTTCAATATCTCCACAATAATGATATGAATCATCATTGTAAGCTCGTAGAAACGCAAACATAATGATGTTAAAACTCTCATACTTCTTTTCACAGTTCTGGTTGCATTACGAAGGTTGTAGTTTGGACTCGAAGACTTTAGATTAATTATACTCGTTGAGTGAAATTCGTTGGGAACAAACAATAAGTATAAAAGCGATTTGTCGGAAAGCTTGTCTATGTTGTGGAGCGGAAATTCAATTGCATGTAAACACTATGATCAGACAAGGATTAAGTATTGAGGTCAATTTTAACTTACCGTTTTACCAGAATCCGAACGGGATTGGTCATGAATTTCGACGTCATTTCAAGGATTTCATGAGGCATTGTGGCTGACAGGAGGACTACTTGTGTACCAGGAGGTAAATATCGATAAACATCGTAAATTTGTTCTTTGAATCCTTTATCCAGCATTTCATCGGCTTCATCTAGGACAAACAACTTAACAGCTCTTGTTCGCAAACTGCGACGGCGTATCATATCTGCACAAAATAAACACGTACAACGACTTTATGGGCTACCCAAATCATTGATAACAGTAAGCAAGAAGAGCGCAAGCTATTAACAACTAGTTAATCTGTAAAATTAGACTGTGCCGGATAGTTGCCACTATTAATAAAATCAACTGTGTAAATTATTGTGTACAAGATGTTTGCTACTACACGAAGTTAAAACTGGAAATTCTAAGTCGTTACATTTACATATCAGACCTTTCGAATCAATACCAAAACCGTACTTCACAGTGATTACAATAACTTTAGCTAAAGAAAATTCAACGAAGAGAAATCCTCATAAAAAGGTAGCTTATGATTCGAAATCATTAACTAAACCGAACATAAAACCATTTACATTTGGGTCAATTATAATGGTTTTATATCTGATGTCATCACCACTGAGTTAGATTTGTCTACTACACAATTATTGAAGGTTACTCTTTCATAAGATTATATGCATTTTATCTGCTTTTGTGTTGTCAGTCAGTCAGTCAGTTGCAACGTAGAACTTCATACGTACGTACATAAGTTCATGTTGCCATACCACATTAGCACAAAGACGCAGATGTCAAATCAAATCCCATAGTGATAAAGATAGTAGAGGTATTAATGATAATGCAGAAGACCAGGGTTCGAAGATATTATTCAAGAAGTATAATTCAGTGAGATAAGGTTAGAAAGACCGATACAATTTTTCCGCTCCGATAAAAGTAGATGGATTGGGATGTGAACCTGTAACCGACTAACCGCCTCAACTACTAATTAATCACACCGTTTCTACAGTGCCCAGCTAACAGAACTGCAAACTAAGGTCATTCATTTGTTTTGATTTAGTTACAGATGTTATAACAGTAAAAAAAATGTTCAGCGAAGAACATGTATATGTGCATCAAATGGCTTATCAACACTGTACATTGGCGACAACGTTCTTACGACAACTACCAAAACAGCATACAAATGGCCAGTAAACAGACAAAAATGTGAAGGAATTAGACAAAGTAATATTCAAGTTTTAAACTATACTAAGTCTACAATACCTTCAGTCAATCAGTCAGTATTAAAATTAATCGGAGAGATGTTAATTCAGTGAGGTAAGTTTAGAAAGAGAGAGGTGATGAGGAATTCAGAAGGTTAGAATTTCATAGAACACAAAGAGAAAATGCAACTGCGCCATTGCAAACGGTTTTGAGACATGTCATTCAGGATCTCTAACCATCGATTACTAACATCTCGTGGATCCTAACCAGGTAGTCGACACCTACCGACATGACTTAGTGCACTTGTCAGTGAGTTCATGGATTTCTATCATGTTTTTGTCTCGCCGCACCTAGCTTCCGTCCAAGCTATTCCTATATCGCAAAACATAGCTCGACTACAATACCTTACCTTACGATCGATTAGTAAAAATCTGTAGAAATTCAGCAGACAATGACAGCAAAAAGTTTACTACTGAACACGCAATTACATACCTATTATGGTGCAAATTCGATGCTTGAAGAGCCCAGATTTGAATACTCTTCCACCTTTGTTGATTTATGCATTTCAACAATGTACTTAGCCCTATTACAAAATGCGACTCAAAGCCATGTATATTCATCTATTGTTGGTAACTACATGAAACTAATTAGTGAAAGGTGATTCTTTCCATTTGTTATCCTTCTTATAATGCACTTACAAGTTCAGTATTACTCCAAGTTTGAAATGAGATCGTTTCTTTATCCGACTATATGATGCTAACTGCAACTGACTCAGAAGTTTAGATACTTATCCAGTCAAGTTTTGATCATCCTACTACTAGCAAATGACAAATATTAGACGTGTGTATTTGCAAACTAATATTTTTAGCAAATAAGGCTACGTACCAAATACACGACCAGGAGTTCCTGATATAACATGCTGTCCATAGTCCAGCTTTCTAATATCCTCCCCAATGTTTGTTCCACCATAACAAGCGTGACATTGAACGTTCATGTAATCACCTAAGGCGAGGATGACCTTTTGTATTTGTGAGGCTAGTTCACGAGTCGGAGACAAAACTAGAGCTTGGGTTTCTCTCAGTTGAGTATCCAACATCTGCAGAATAGATATGCCCAGCGTTGCGGTTTTCCCGGTACCAGATTGGGCTCTAAAAGAGGGTCAAGTTAGGGACATAATACTTACTGAGCTATAACATCTCGACCTTTCACTATTTGTTTGATAGCCCTTTGCTGAATCGCTGAAGGTCGCTCAAATCCTATGAGGTCAATATAGAAAATCGGGAATGATTACCATAAGCGTATATCCCACGTAGTAGATCGTCTCGAAGACACATTGAATCGAATGATGGGATCACATCGATGTTTTCGGAAGTTTCAAACTCTACATTCTTTAAATCATTTTCTATATTGTTTCTCTTTGATGCACTTTCCATGCTTTAGGCGGTTGAGCACTGAAACCACAATCAGAGTTAGAATGTTTATAATGTAAGCATTAAAACAGAAGAAATTTCATTACTAAGATTTATTTATTAATATTGTATCTATGACATTAGTATTTCCAGGGGTCTTCACCATTTGGAACTTTCCTATTACGATAAAGTGCTGATTTGCCTTTCATTTGTTCGTTCATTGGAATACTTTTGAATAATGCATAACAGGTAAGAATACCGCATACACTTCCAGCTGCAAGCGAAGCTGTCCATAAAAAGCTATTTGACTTCAACAAATTCATTTTCATTGTTGAGCTTCGCTCCCTATGAAAAGTATAATAAAACAGCCTACAAACTTACTTTATAATTTTGGCAAGCTTGGTAATCAGAGTAAATTATATAAGCAGTTAATGTGGGTGCAAAAACAGTAACAAAGTTTCTACGAATTGTCCTTAAAATTGAAGGCACTTGCATTTACAAAGCCAAATTATGATGGAAACTGCGCACTTAGTATGCGCAGATTTAACGTACCGTCACGGTCAAACTAAGACAAATGGCGCTACTCTAGTTTTCAATGAACAGCTATTTTTTAATATTTTATTGTAGCAATAACGGACACGAAATTAGTGTTAGAGGCTGATATCCTAATATTAGTGAGAGACTGTATGTGTATAGTTCTGGCAACTGTTTTCGGCCTGGCTAGTGAGATGCTGTAGACTGATGAAAAAAGTAGTTGTTGAGCATAAATCATTTTTAAAAGTATTTCGCCCAATCCGATAAGGTTGCTAGAGCCGCCACCTTAATTTCAAGCTGTAGTGGATTAATTGAAAATCTCAGGATGAAGAAGTCACTCGTGAAACGGTGTTCTGGAAGAAGCAAAACAATACTTTACATACAAATAACTAGGACCAAAAAGTAATGCTGAAGCAATTAAGGAATGTCAAATCAAGGTGAGGAAAGCCGGTGACATGTGGATTGCAAAAATTACCTTTTTACAAACTTTGTTCCCTGGTTATTCCTCCGTTTTTTCATTTGTACGAATACGGCTCATGTTCATAATGGTTCTTTTCGAGCTAACGTTCATTACAGTCTACTTATAACGTTGAAATTTGTTTAGGTGGTATATACCTTTGTGATATAATGCACTCCAGACGTTTGCGTTGAGTGAAAGTATATCGTTTCAGAAATCCTTGGACAGGCTTGAAGATGTCACGAATATTCACTGCTGTAGGGCGTCTTAGTCTCGAAAACCTGCGGATCTAGTAAACCCAAATCCAGGTAAACCCAGAAGTCAGTAACCAGGAGAAACGAAGGTTCATTCGGACAACGAGAGGAATATCAAGGATATATTGAACTAATTTTGCTAGTTAATACTAGGAGTTGCTATTCATGGTGTATCCGGCAATCTCATTAGGGTGGATGATTAAGAGTATTAACTAAATTGTGTCCACCAAAACTAATGAGGTCAGCACCAGCGTGGAAGTTTCACAGAACCATTTACTTTGGCTAATAATTTTCAGCTACAAGCTTTATGTATGAGACAATTCTTATCACTCATTTTTGTATCATTTGATTTTACATTTGTATGTGTCTCCCTACAGATTTCATAGTTATACTCGTTGTAGGTTTTCTATGTATATGATTTTTTTGTGTTAACGCATATTTATTATGATGTAAGATTTATGTAATATTTGTTTTTTATTTTATTTGTCTTGCTCTTCTTCGTACCAATTAAGCGTAAACCATTTTAATTTGGTGGCATGGTCATCTGCTTATATCCATATACTTTAAATTTAGTTTTTCAGCTGTTCTCAATGTTTGGTGTTTTTTTAAAGGGGCCAGACAGTGTCTAACACATAGAAATAACTAAAAGAATATAGTTAATGATATATGGTATCATCTTTAGTCAACCATGATGTTTAAAAACTGGACTTCGTGAGTCGAGTGCTAGGGCAAGGCTGCTAAATCCCCTCTATATAGCCAGCTTAGAAATCCCAGTTATAGGTTGATGATACTGTCAGGAATACAAGTAGGAAGATAACGATTGACTGGTAGTCTGATATCGGGATAAAAGCATAGCTTCTGCAGTTTTTTTCGATTATTTTCTTTTTATGTAACAATAATGAAAATAATAATTCTCAAATCACGGTACCACATGAGGCACTCCATTTTACAGGCAAGATAGAGTGGTTATAAATGCTATCTCATTTAATGTTAAATGTTTCTTAGTAAGATCAATAATAAGACACTATACTCCTTGATTTCCCTTATTGGATAGTTTAACATGGGTTGATTCACCATGTTATAACAGAAACAACAGCTTACTAACTTGTTGCAAGAAACACCATGATCGGTTGAGGAAATGTTTTTCCTGTGTCTGTAACCTAATAAAAGAGTAAAGGTGAATGGAAGGCATGGCCAATTTTTCAAGTATGGCACACACAGTACAATCAAGGAAGTAAAGCAGGTTTAAGTCATAACAAAGATGACAAACTTGAGGGTCAGTCTTCTAAAAATTCGCTGTTCTTTGTATTCCTTCAGGAATGAAGAAATTTACGATTACCTATACCTGGTTTACGACATCAGAACTGGTTAGTTATGTTATACGCAAACACGCATTCATTAAAACCTTGACCAACATTTGCCACTGAGCGCTTTATTTCCAGTCGATATCCGAAATTGGAAAAGACGTACCAAGGAAAACAGATATTGGTAAGCATCTACAGTTTGTCGCATCGCAGTCATAGCAAATCCAGGGTAACGTGATGCAAAAACTTTTTCATGTGAACACGTAAACATTGATACAAAAGGGCTCCGAAATATATATGCACCACACGAATTATCGAACGTGTGTGGGGCGAGATACTGCTCATGTGCCCAATCCGAAGCAGGTGATTTTCTTAGGGTGCCAATCTTTGAGTCCCTAACCTGAAGGTCCAATCCGCAACTCAGTGGCGTAACATTGGGAGACGTGATTCCATGGTAGCAGACGAGCAAAAACAAGAAGTTGTGATGCGTTTGTGAAGATTTCACTTTTACGAAGAAAGACACGGTTGGTTAAATGGCAACGTTTTTTCATGATAATAAAATTTAATAGTGAACGTTCTGTAGAATATTTGTTTATTCTTACTTTCGTTTCACGCAACGACCTTCATATTTTTGTCTATATACTGGAATAAGACTGCGGCCACAGGGATCTCTTCTTTCCAGGCACCATCTTGCTTTGATTGCTCTGTACCTTCGCTTATCCTCTTGCACTATTCGGTATTTCTTCGATACCACGAAATCGCCAGCAAATGCACCTACTTCATCCGGTCAGTCCTGTGTTCTTCTAATAAAAGATCTGGGATAACTTGTGACGCTCGAAATTAGATGGAATTCAGGCATGTTCATAGTCTTTCGGCTCGAATACACATACGTTTATCACAGCTAAAGAAGGCTACAGAATAAAACATTTCAGAATATCTGCCACAGAACGAGGTTAATTAAATGTAATGAAGGCCGTAAGTATAACCTCTACAAATTGATATATAATCATCGAGTACTTTCAACCGAGAGTTACGCTGCACCATCCCTCTAACAGAGATGTAGAGTTCTCAAGCATCAACACGACGATTATTTTTATAGGTCTTTTACGTTTCAATGTGGATGTTTGTGAAATAGCAGAGTTTGAGGACAATTTTTTTTCAAAAACCCTTTTATAAATCAAAATTAACCTATTTTCTTAGCTTTCATGCTGAAAATACAAAGAAAGCATCCTCAAATTTTGGCCGACAGTCTACTCAACGAATTCTCATTTATCTAGCATCAAGTAAATCCGAAAGTGCATAACTTATTTATGAGGCAAATTACTGCAAATCTAGGCTGAATGCAAAAGTGAACATACATCCCTTTCAGTTTGTTACTGAAAAAAACAGCAGTGATTGCACTGTGGGTCGGTACATGAGAACATTCTGCTGGAGCCGGTCAGTACTTAAATAAGTCTTCTGCACATATCTTTAATCATTTAGGAGTAAAAATGTTTCATAGGTTTGTTATTTTATGACATTTCCAGTAAGAGTAAGGTATATTCGCATGTTATTAGAATCCAGTAGATTGTGTTAGATCCATTGCTAGAATGTGTGCTGCGACTCGGAAACGCGCATACGCGATCCCAGTGAAATTATTAATCTGATTTCAGCTTGTCAAAATAAGGAAGCAGCTCGATCTACTCTTCGTGTATCCGGTAGTACTGATGCTGCTTCCCGAGATCTCGCTGGTGTAGGTATAGTACTGAGTCGAAGGACAGAACTATCTCTCCTAGACTGGATCCTGTAGATAGTCGCTTGTGCGTTGTCAAACTGAACGGGACAGTAAGGATTCGGAAAGATCAGGACACACGTCGTTGCCTCTTCGTCGTATCTGCCTATGCCCCCACTGACTGCAGTCCGGACGAAGCGAAAGATGAGTTTTACAGAAAGCTTTCAAACCTCTTCCGAAAAGTTAGACGCTCTGATGTATTAATAATGGCTGGTGACTTCAATGCTCAGGTAGGTAGACTGAGTGAAAATAAAAGATCTTATGGATCTTATGGTGTCGCGGTCCAGAGAACAGAAAATGGCGACCGTCTGTTGCAACTGTGATCAGATAACCAACTATTTCTAGCAAACACTAACTTAAGCATAAGGAAAAACATCTGTTTACCTGGCGACCCCGGAAGTCGTCTCAACGTTGGACACAACTAGATCGCATCGCCATCAGTCAACAATGGAGGGATTCGATAGAGGACTGTCGCCCGTTCTGGGGCACATGTTTAGATTTAGATCATGCCCTAGAGCGAGCGCGTATTTGTTTGAGGCTTACTGAACGTAGGAAAGACAACGTAAGGAAGCATCTTAGGCTTTAACTTAATGCGCAGCAGTTCGCTCTGTCCTACTATATGGATGCAAAACGTGGCCGGTAAGAGTAGAAGATATACGTAGGTTACTAGTATTCGATCATAGGTGTACCCGAAGCATTGCTCGCGTATCGTTGGACAACCGAGTAAGCAATACTATAATAAGGAAACGTTTTACAGTTAAGGATGGCAAATCAATAGATGAAGTATTGAAACTTCATCAGTTGAGGTGGTTGGGACATGTGATACGCATGCCTAACCACCGACTGCCTCGTCGAGTTATGCTAATAATTCTACTATCGCTATCACTCTTGGATTTGAACTGACAGTTACGTCTCTGTGCTGACGTGGTACGGCAACGTGAACTGATGTGCTTACGTACAAATTTCTGCGTTGTATCTGTCTGTATTGCCAGAATACACTGGGATCACACTAAGTAAGCAATGCTATTGTTAGAAAACGGGTACTAGGTGAGGATGGAAAATTAACTGAAGTATGGAACCTTTGCCCGTTGAAGTGGTTGGGATATGTATTACGAATGTCGAACCACTGACTCCCTCGAAGAGCGATGTTTTGTGGTGTAGGAGTGGGTTAGTAGAAAGCTATGACAGACCAAACCAAAACATGGCACAAATCTATGAAGTCACTGACAAGTTGACTGAGCCATCTTAAAGGTGTTGGTTGGGGTCCGCGAGATGACAGTAACCAATAGTTAGAGACTTTGAATGACATGGCTCAAAACCGTTTGCAATGGCGCAAGTGCATTCATTCTTGATCCTCTCTCTTTCCAAGTTTATTTTATTGGGTTATACTTCTCTAATTACAATTTCGTATCCTAATCTTTCCCATTACTTCTACTACCTCTACTTCCATGGGATCTGAACTGACAATTCAATCTCTGTTTGTTAATGTGATATAACAACTAGGACTGATGTATGTGTATAACAAGTTCTACGTTGTAGCTAACTGACCGATCATTTTATAACATGCTCATACAGTAACCCACTTATTATAACAATAGTCCCTTTTCTATAAAAAAAAGGAAGCAAACGGACTTTAAATTTAAGGTGAACTATTTACAATAATGAATGATATTTAACAAATATATTGATATTGACACAAAATCAGTTATCTCATTTTTATGTATATAAATTATACAAAATATATTTACACAGAAAAGGGGAATAAGTAGAGTAAACTGAAGAAACAGTCAACAATGATAATCTTTAGGAATAACAAAAGTTTTCTCTCATATAAAAGAAAGATGGCATATACAGGATAGGACGAAATTCAGCCTATTTAGTAATTTCATCAGACATTTCATGCAGTTTATTCAAAATAAGAGATAAATTCTGAAGTTTTAAATTCCCATCTTTGTGTTTATCAGTTGGTTGGTGATATACCTATTATGAAAGTAACAAAAAAAGTCTTACTTGATTATTGAGTAAATATACTAAGTACTTTCTGTTAATTACAACAACTCTCAGACTATCAACCAATCAAACCAATCGAAAGTGAAGTGGTTTGAGTTGGTAACATAAGGGGGTTACAAATCAAGAGTTTTGACCAGAAAATACTATTGTACATGTCTAGTTTGTAATAAAAGTTTAGAGAAAAATATATATTGTTTTCTGAAATCAAGTGTTTTCCTATTTTTATATCTATCTCTTAAATCATTCACTTTCTTGCATTATAAACTGAAATGAATGAGAAAATAATCTAATGAATACCTGTAGTACTATATCAATAGCATAAAGTAAGGGTGGTCTAAATCATCAAGTACTTGGTAAACTATAAGCAATTTTGTATAAAACAAGTGGAAAAAAAAGTTGATTTTACACATTTATAAAGGTTGAATTAAGTGAATGCAGTAGAAAGCATATCACAAATCTAGGTATTATATTATCAATAATATAGATAATAAATTAGATTTTAGTAACAACAACTGATATTCATGAATCCTTCCTATATTGACTGAATTATTAAACGCCTAACATTGTCAGCATTCCTGATTCTACTCTACGAAACTCCGATCGTCCATATATTTTTTAATTAATATTAACTAATATGTAAAGTCTCAATTTTCATAGTGAAATGTTAATATTGTTTTTATTTATCTGAAACACTTTGTTGTCTATGATTTAAATAAAGGATAATTAGTATAGAAAAATTGTAAACGAATATAGAGTAATATGACTAGATTAGTAAATATATTCAGTTTTTTTTTGGAAAAACAGATCTTTTCCGACTATATGTTTGGAAAAGAAGCTCGAATTCTCTCTTAACAAAGTAGTATTATTCTGATAGATGGTTACTCCTAAATTGTCCAGAAGAACAGATATAATCTTTTGATGCCTCAAATTTTTTGCTTAACAGTTGTAGTTTATTTGATCAGTATTATTAAAAATGAACTTGATGGGAGGTTCGTTGTTACACTATAAACAGTATTGAAGCTTGTACGATTCACTTTTTATAAATTGAATACAAGTAGAACAACTAGTAATTACATTTTCAATGGGGAATTCTATCATCAATGGATATCAGGTGGTTACCAACTGAAAACAACGAATTACTAGATACCTGTTTCATTGCATTAAGGAATATGTAAGAAATAGAGACTTAAGACCTCAAAACAAAATGGAACTAAAGAGAGTTTCAAGCCCCAAATCACTTTTAAACCACTGAACTGTGTTTCCGATGATCAACAGTTCTAGAAGCATCTCATTTGGAACATAATAACCCATTGCAATCGAAAAGTTGAATATTATTATTATTATCCGAAAACTTATTCAACATGTCTGTTATTTAGACGAAGCATGATTACAGCAGAAATAGTAAGGGTTTGAATTATCGCCTTGCTGATAATGAGAACTTCATTTTTATCATATGTGCATTGTGTGCGGATTCCTACAATCTGCCTATTTGATAAAACCTGCGACAAAATAGTTTTATAACGGGATAGTTCGCACAAAGTGTTCAAGTGCTAATAAATACTGAACAAAATAAAATCTCAAATATCAATAATGGAATAATTAAAAACTTTTACTAATCATGATGGACATAGTATAATACCCTGTTGAACAATTTAATCATTATCTGAACTTGGTAGTTCCATAGATAATGTGTTGGTGTTGCAAGTGAAACACACAAAGTTCACGTCCGGTTAGGAACATGAACACTGAAATGTAAAAATGCCTAGTTGATGCTGACTTAATTAAATAAGCATAAATGTGTCTCAGATTCCGGTTAGCTAAGTTATATGTATTCTTTAAAAAACATTTGACCATGTACACATAAAAAAAGTATAAAGATTATACTCACCTGTATATCTTTAAATGGTTTAACTAATTTCTTAGAATATATATTGTGTATCTCTGAATCAGCAAGATGATGAATAAGAAGAACCCATGTACTTCCAGGGTCAAGAGTCCATAGAATTTCTAAACTGGACATAGAAGCCTATTAAAAAGTATATAAACAGAAAAAAAAATTCACTACTTCAAAAATATTCAAAAAGAATTTTTATTTAATAGAACACAAGTATGAAATACATACCAGAATTATATAACGGAAACAAGATATCAAAAAAAAAATTATTTCCCAGTAGGAAATAATGCTACTTAATCTTCAAGATAGCCAATAAGATTTACAGCTCAAAAAAACGATATTAGTGATGATATAATTTTTGAGCTGTCAATGAAACAATATAATATAAATAAACAATAATGGAAATAAATAATTCACATAAAAGTGAGATAATCCAGTCATTCTATCTGACATTTGCACTGATGTTGTTTAGGAGGACAATAAAAACTTTAGCGCTCACAAAACGCAACTTCACCGAGATAAATTAATCATTTTCAGTAGTGAAATAATTAAACTTTCTTTAAGTTATGTCGTTCAACATGTACAACAATAAATTATTACTGCCATTAACGTGTGAAGGTACTACAATAAGAACGAATGATACATAGAAATCGTTGCTATACAAATGGCTTGGTTAGATAAATTAATCGAAAGGGCTTAACCAAATTAAATGTAAGCGAACTCGAATATATATATGGAGGCACTACAAGCGTATCTTCTAAGGGTTTAAGATGATTCGCTAACAGACAGTTTCTCCGATGACAAAACAGAACTTAAATACGCCCTTAAACAAACCATCGGTGAACTCAATGATTTCCTATTTTGCGGAACTACAAATCTGCTATATATATAAACACTGTTAGTTTTCATACACATTGAAATCTAACACCTCACTTAAATTAAAGCGTCAGACAATAAAGTGACCACTAAGCAGTGACCGATATTATATTAGTCCGATCATTTAGGTACTGACCGAGTACTTTTGACGAAGTTGTAATTTGACCACTAGTATAAGTGATTTATTATTGAGTGCTAAGATTTTTGGTGCTCAAAATAAGCCGACATGAAATCCTGAACTTAGGTTTTATGTTAATTGGCATCTGCCAACTAGGAGTACTTGTAATATGCAATGCATCAATCTGTAACTACAACTGAAAACACGAAGTTACAGCCAGTAAAATACTTTCATTTTTAAAATAGACTACAACTGCCGACTGAGTCAAGCTGAATTTTCAAGAAAAAACAATAACCAGCGATGTTATAGGATTATTGCGGCACTATATGTGAGGTTTTACACAATCTCAGCTTTCACCATGAAGCGTCATAAGTCTACTGAATGAAGACCTTCTAACTCCCAGGGCAGAGTTTAAACGGCTGAAATTATTTTTTTCTGGATACCATTTTCTTTAAGCAAGTTAATTTTCTACGGTATGAGGTTGCTTAGCCCATGCCCAACCCTACTCCTTCATCGGGGCTTGGGACTGACAGTAACCCTAAAAGGGACCAAGGTGGAGTTTTATTGATAATTACTCACATATCAAGATTATGAGAAGTCGAGTTAGTCATTTGACTTGAACCAAATCTCATGAAAAACACAGTAATAAACAATGGCAGGATATGACTGCAAACATGAAAAAGTTCTTCTTCATTTCTTCTTCTTCAACAACACAAATGACCAAAAGAAAATTTGTAATGAGGGCAAATAAGAAAATATTTGATCGCTAATACACAATAAGTTGACATTCAATTGAATCATACAAATGAATACACCAGATAATCCAAATTATTATACTAGGTCACATGGTACGCTATTTGTGTACAATAACCGGAAGACAAGTGAAAGCCACATGTTGTGTTGCTCGCTTAAATAATTCCCAGCTAATTCGTATTGCTTAGTATTCTCTGACCACAATACACTGGACAAGTTCCAAAGAATCAAAAACACGTTGGAACAGGAAAAGATTATATTCCAAATAGAAAGGTTAAATGGAAATAAGAATCCGAAGATGAAGGCGAAAAAGAAACAACGTTAGTTTCTTTATAGTATTTACATGAGAAGCTTCTGGATTGTAATTTACATGATTGACTGGATAAGACTTGGCCAATCAGCGTGCAGCTAACAACACGAGGATTTTCTACCCCGTTCTCCAAGAATCGATCAGGCGCTGATTGGATAGAAGATTAGCCAATCAGCGCGCAGCAATGTAGTCATGCTTTAATTTCATCTATGTCCCACTAACAGCAGACGAGATAATTATTTATTAATAGAGTACAGTACAATGAAATCAATCATGGAAGGAACTAACAACGTAATTATTATATCTTATACATTTAGCGCAGTCTGGATGATCATTTATTTTAGCTCACTATCCAGTTACATTTTACTTTCACTGGTCATAATAAACATTAAATGTGTATAAATTTAATTTGGAAATTCTAGAGTTATTATGTTAATATCAAACAAGTATACTTATGAAGTTACAGAAATCAAACTTAGTGTTCTATAAAACTGATCCTACTATTTTTAAATGTAAATGAACACGAATAAGTATGGATGATGATGATGATGATGTTCAATAAAACGTCTCATAATAGCGGTTGGACACTGCCTAATATTGTGTATGCATTTTATTGAAGCTGAAAATTGATTCGCTTTCTAGTACAATCAATCAACTATGGATTGCTGCATTTATGGCAAGTGATAATCGGATGACAATTGCATAGAAATCTAGTTAACTTTTCTACAGAAAACATTAAGTTGAAAAATAGAATGAAAAATGATTTATACGTAAAGTAAGCACTGATAGCAATGTCTAGAATAACAATGAAAGCGTTACTATTGAACTAACCAACAGCCTAGAGAGCACATATCATGAAACTCAAGCACTTAGGCTATGAATAGTTTTCATCTAGTTATTGTTATTATTATTATTACAATATTTTTCACAAATTAATTAAGATCAATGCGTCATCAGATTGGATATTGTTAACTAATACTTAAATTTTAGATGAAAATAAGAGCATAGTTAAGTGGTGGTACATTGATTTTCCAATAAAAATTGTAACATATTCATTAAGAAATGAATGGAAAAGTTGATAAAATGAAATGGCACTAAACTTAAAAAAAAAATAAAACATCTTACTTGTTGTAGTCCTTCAGGTTGTGAATTATCTAAATACATCACGAGCACATTGATCACAGGTCGCAGTGATTGTGATAAGACTTTCATCTAAATAATAATCATGAAAAAATGAGTTATAATAAATAAATAAATTGAATAAATAAGTAAAAAGAAGATATATATATTTATATTGATATGTATATTCACTTACTTGTCTACAAAGTGGTCCAATCTCTTTCAGTAATCGTTTTTGTACACGATAAGATGTAAGATATTTGTATGATTTTGATGCTGATGCACTAGAAAACAAGTAGAAGAAAGAAAAAAACAGGCGAAAAAAACACACATCAACTTGCTAAAAGGACTGACTGAGCAAAACAAGTCAAGAGATTTTAGAAAATATAATAAGAATTATAGTTCACTGTATAATTAAACACTAGAATAACTGCTAATTAAAATGTACATTTTATTGAAGCAGATGAATAGAGATGAATTTTTTTTAAAAAAAACAAAGATTTAAACTTTAATTTTGGTCGAATAGATTTAATGAAATAGAAATTACTAATCAATTAAAATAATATTTTACAATAATTTCATTTACAGTTAACATGCAATAAATAAGTGTATGATAGGCAATTGAAATGACCGTAAGACGATAGTAATCGATGGTTAGAGATCCTGAATGACATGGCTCAAAACCATTTGCAATGGCTCAGGTGCATTTATTCTTTGTGTTCTCTCAAATCCTAAGCTTCAGAGTTCCTCATAACCTTTATCTCTTTCTTTTTAAGTTTATTTCACAAGGTCCTAGTTCTTGAATAATATCGTCGAACCCTAATATTTCAGATTACTGCTAGTACTTTTACTATCTCTACTATTATGTGATTAGAAGTGACAATTGCATCTCTGTGCTAATGTGGTATGGTAACTTGTATTGATGTACGTACGTACGTACGAAGGTCTACGTCGCTGTTGAATGGTTGAGGCGATTCAAATGAATAAAGTCAACAACAATAAATAATATGATAAAGATGGTAAATTCACCTTACAGAAGCACCACGTGTTAAAAATAACACTAAAGGAGGAATTATTTCCGATGATGCACGTTGTCGAATAAAATTTCCAGCAACTTTAGATAATACAGTCAAAAGATCAAATGCCTTGAAAATAATTAAGACAAAGATAAAAGAACACATAATTTAGAGAATTAACAAATTGTTTACATCGGAAATTATAATTCCTCTGAAACATCCTATGTTCAATAAGTGATCATTTAAAACCTTAAGTACTAAATATTACATTTGATGGTAGAAAGGATTAATTCATAACACACCTTATGTAATTAGTACAATTAATTACATTCTCATTCATCTTTAAAACCTTTTATTATCACTATTTAATATTCAAACAAAAACATTGGTACAAAGCGTCACCTAGACATTTATGCTTTACACGAATCAATGAATTTGAGTGTGCTGGGATACTGCCCCAGTGCTCAAACTGAAACAGGTAGTTTTCTTAGCTGGCCACTCCCCGAGTCTTTGGACCCAAAAGTCTAGTCAACAAGTCGGTTGAGCAACATTAAGAGATACAGTCCCACGGTAGCCAATGATCAACAACAGGCTCGTTCCGTCATAATCCTGGAGCCCATTTGCACCATTGGGTTTGGAATGAGGGTTTTCCAACTCATCTAGGTGGATTCACCGTATATACCAGGCTGGTTTAAGCCCTGGCCGGACATTCAGTTTTTGTCCTTTCAATTTCGTAAACAAAACCCGTGCCATGAGAGGGTAGTGAGAACCTCTCTGGTTGTGGCTATACACGCTCAGACGTACCATGGCATTTCAATAAATTTTTTATGAAAGTTGAAGATAATATTAAAAATTTTCTTAGATAAATTTAATGTGGTGTAACAGTTTTGGTAGTTGCAATTATATTATTGTTTATTTAAAAATGATATTTTTAATGATAAACTGTATCAATGTACAATGTTGAAAAAGTTTAATCCAATAAATAAGAAACAGATAACACGTGATACTGAATGTAGAATTATTGACTGATATATAAGCATTTGTTAGAAATGTTCACTATAATACATACAACAAGCAAACAATTGGTATATTTTCCACATTTTTAATCTTTTTCTTGAATTACTTACATATCATAATTAAAACATCATAAGTGTGAGTGATAATTAATAAAACATTAACTCTGTGATTAAATGTGTACCATAACTTTACTACAAAATATTTTAAAGACCAGGTGTGTATAAAGGAAAATCGTTATAGTAATGTACAGTACTTAGAGTGTTTTCCAGTGTTATAATTGCTATTAGTAGTACAATCTAAGAACAGAAATATTACTGAACTATACAGTAGAAACTGACATCTCAATGCATCAGTGCAACTTAACACGATGATTCGCAAATGCATGACAACTTAAGACAGTATAACTAACAATTAAATTATACTCATTGTATTGTTCAATATCTGATTTTCGATACTTATGTATAAACTGTTTATACACAAACTCAAAGAAGCCACTTCACTGATTAAAATTGAATTCATTCATTCTAGAATAAAAACATTTTTATTTCTTAAGAAAATAAAGTTAAATCATAATCAATAACATAAGTTAATCATTTTTTTAAATCTATATTTAATTAGTTCAATGTATTAGTAATAGTATCTACTACTTAACTAATATGGCATAGCTTGATGTGAACAGAAATAATGTACAAAAATTTATTTTGTATTGGTTTTTTTTATCATTTTCAATGTATTATTTGAAAAGAAAAAAAGCAAACTTACTTTCTCAACAACTATAGCATGATTATCATGAAATCGTTTCATCAAAGAAGACCATATTTTGTGTACAATTGGTAATAATAAATCTAAAAATTTTGACAAAGCATTAAAATTTCATTATTCGAATTTATTTTTTTAAGAAAAAATTGGACTTTTTTTTAACTATTCCATAAATACACGAATCTCAAGTGAAAAATTGTCTTAATAATTTATACACATTGGAATGCCTTTGAAGTTCGAATTAATTCCATTTTGCACAACTGGACACTACAATTAACCTTCAATGTGTAGAACAGAGTTATGTATATGACCCCTATTTAAACGGTTGAAAAATCCCCCCCTTATTTAAACTAGATCCTTGTAAAAAACTCAGAGATCAACTCAGCAGATCAACACACAAACAAATTATCCCATTCAGACCAATTTTAAATGTGTATAACTTCTCATATCATACTATAGCTAAATGGTTAGTAATTCTATTGAAATCACTTAATAAAAAGCTTATAAAACATAATGTTAACGATGTATGCCAATTTGTTGATAAGATCAAAAATGCAAATACTATGGGACAAACTGTGATGTCATTAGATGTAACATCATTGTTAACCAATGTTCCATTCACGGAAACTGTAGAATACAAATGTGAATAATTTAGAGAAAACGAGATTATTATCATTATTATTACTATTATTATTATTATTATTATTGGTTTAACATCACTATTAATCCCCCAAATACAAGTAATCAATTTACTTAACACCCATCCTACTTAATTATTTGGCGTTGAATTTACATTAGATTATTCACAGAACATTCGATCGAATTTAGAAACTGCATTATCATTTCTCTTAATCAATCTCACGCATATTTATTCTCATAATTGGTGTCACAATTTCATTTATCATGTACACTTATTCAAGTTAACACTTCAAATTAGTTTTCTCAAAATTAATACTTTAATTTTATTTTACAAATGATCCTAACTTCATGAATGATTTAATTTGAGACGATGTAATTTGACTTAAATGTAGCCATTTCATTGGAGGGTAGAATCTGATGAGAATTTACTGAAAAAAATATTCTTCTTTTGTAAATTACTTGTTTTCATAATTGAACATTAATGAAATAGTATTATTATACTACGAACTAGTTAAACAGTTTAAATTTTCAACGTTGAACTCACAAAGTTAAAACCCAACCCTGTTCAACGTTGATTTTATTCGTATACTTCAAGTGACCGATTTAATTTCAAATACTAACTCATACTATTGGTCTTAATCATCAGTTTGATTATCCTTAGTTCTTAAACTGTAATTAATACTGGATAAATCGCATTCTATGAATTTATTTAAAATATTATTTTAAATCATGAATCGATCAATTTTAGGATGTAATTCGAAACCTGGAAGCGCCAGACGACCGTTTCGTGGATTTGCACTGCTGACGAGTCCCATACTAGGACGAAACCGTCGCCCAGTACGTCCAGGCTTCCAATTACAGTCTAAAATTGGACCATGCATGATTTCGATGAAACTCGAAAATCTCTACAACCATACAATAACAACAACAGGATATTAATACGACGCGATGTTGATATTCAGGTCTGAACTTTCATGTTGTTATTTAGGCACATTTTAGCGAATAAATTGAAAACAAAACTAAATACACCTCCTAGATTTCTTAACTGGCTAAAATTCAGTATTCTTAAATATATTTCGATTAGTTGAGTAGTGGTATCAACCAGTTTTGTAATTAAACAAATAATGATAATACTTTTAATATTATTATCACATAATTCTATGCGAAATAAGGAATCAGTGAATCCAGTTGATATAATTATATTAAACATAGAGCTATGAAAATAAAATGTAAACTATTTGAATAAAAAAAATATATTTTCACAATAAGACATCTGAAATTTTGTGAAGAAAAACGCGTTGATATATTTAACATAAAAACAACCTTCTTACTAGTTTCGTTTTTCAACGCTAAACAACCTTCTTTTAAAACATTCATAGATAGTATACGTAGTTTAGGATTACCATCAGCCATTAAATGTATACATCGTAACATCACCTGAAAGTATAAATAAAATGAATTTTTTTTTAGAGCCGAACCAATTGAGACATTGAAAATAATAATTTGTAAAGATAACAATATTAATTATGTAGAAACAGGAATCAAATTACGGGAAAGTTTAATATTATTGGAAAATCGAAAATGATGAACAAACTGTCATAAAAAAAAATATTAGGAATTTGTAATTTTCTAATAATACTCTGAAAAGACGTTGATTAGTGATGTATCTAGACATGTCAACTAAATTCCTGCAGTATAATCCAAACAGTGAGGTTCACTTTTTAAGGAACGGTAATATGTTGAGCTAATACAACAAGCTAGTCGGAAGACAAGCTCTTCACTCGAACCCTATTGGTCAATTCAAAGCTTATGGCGAACTGTCATCAGAATTGATCACGTCAAGTGTTGGTCGTCAGGGCTTTTCACTTCCTCCACTTTATATCCAAATTCGTGATTGACATGCTTTTAGAGCGACCACGTTCATCGTCTAAATTCCAGGGGTTGACCTAACAGGAGACTTCGCTTGTTAACTTTGAATATACCAATGACATAGTTCTATTTGGTGAAGACGCTGACATAAAACAGTCTTCTGATCATACTAAACAACAACGCACGTAAATTCGGGATGCGATTCCCCCCCTCAAAATGCAAAATTTTGCTTCAAGATTGGCCTGGTGTGTGACGTAATCGCAGCACGTATACATAAGGCTTCACTAGCTTTTGCCAACCTGCGTTATTTATAGCGTAGGCGAGATATCCGTCTACTGAAAAAAGGACGAGTCTATTGCGCAGAAATTCGCTCCGTCGTACTTTACGAGTGTGAAACATGGCCAGTTCGAGTAGAGGATATTCGTAGGTTACCAGTATTCGCACATCTATTCTTTATCTTCTCTCAAATCCTAATCTTCTGGATTCCTTATGACCTTTCATCTCTTTTTAAATTTATTTCACTGGATTATACTTCTTAAATAATTTCTTCGAAGCCTAATCTTTTTCATTACCGACAATAATGCTACAAACTCTCGTTCTACGGGATTTGAATTGACAATTCGATCTCTGTTTGTTAATGTGATTTGGCAACTTGAACTGATGTACGTACGTAAGTGCGTACAAAGTTATACGTCGTAGCTGGCTGACTGACTGTATTCATCGATTCATCCGTATCATTCAGACAAAATAATCACTGAGTACCAAAGCATAAGTAAATTGAACTAGGAAGAAATATACTGCATTACTACTCATTGATGACAACACATGTTAACTTACTTCCTCTACTATTTGTAAATGATCAGGGAATGTATGATTTCTGTCAGCATCCATACCGTCATCATCATCATCACCAACATTATTAATGTTATCATCATTATTCATAGAATCCATTTTCTTTTTCTCTGATTGATTTAAGTTATCAGTATCATTGATTCCATCAGTCTGATTAATTGGTTCAACAGAATGAAGTGAACGTGTCTCAGATATAAGATTGATTGTTTTTTGATATAATTCAGAGAATAATGATTTGCTAGATTTTGAGTGCAATGCCTGAAAAAATATATATATACATATACATATGTAAAGTCCAATTTATACTATTAGATATTTAACAGTAACTCTATGGAAGATAATATTTATGGTGATAATGTATTATTTTCAATTAGAGCTTTGGAGATTTGTGTTTTTACGCATTTGAAATCATCAATCAATCATTGTTAGAACACCATTAGAAACCTGGAAGCACTGGACGGCCGTTTCGTCCTGGTATGGGACTCATCAGCAGTGTGCATCCACGACTCCTGCATCTCGCAGGATTCGAACCCGGGACCTTCGGTTTTGTGCGCGTATGCATAACCATCGGACCACTGGGCCGGCATCCAACGGTGTTAATGTCTAACTCTGATTGATCTACGGATTTTGCGCGACCTCACCCATTTGTCTTTGGTAGTTACTGCCTACACCCGACAGGGTTGAACTCCATTGGTCACGTCTTCTCACCAGAACGATAATTTCCTGACGAAGCTAGTCACTAGTGAGCACTGTTAAGATAATGTATTAGATTACTATTAACGACAAATAAAATCGACTAAAGCAAAAACAACAAACTTAACAGAATGAATGTAATGACACAGAAAAAAGGTGTTTTAAAAACAGTACGATTGCTCGTCATTTAATTTGATAACATGCATACTGTCGGCATTTTATAATCGTTTAGAACAATTCATGCCCAAATCACTTTGAATTGGCAATATTTCGTTGAGGCAGATACAATTGTTAATCTTATATTATCCTGGTAAACTCTAATCTTTAGTATTCAATTATGTAATCTTTTATTTCACGTTCTTAAGTACAAATTCCTTTTTTCCACTCTTACATCATTCATCTTATAAGGGTTAGGAATTTTACATTTGTTTATTATGCAACTTAGTCAATAGTTGTGATTTTTTAGAAACGTATTTTTGGGCTTTCAAAATTTTTCTTTGCAAATCTCCATATTCGATAATATAAATATTTATTCATATTATCGCTTTTATTTAATTTTCCTACACTTATTACTGTTATTCTATACATGTTCATTTATATGATGTAAAGAGTATGGTTGTAAAGAATTATGATTATTAAGTTTAGGTTGCAAGCAGTTGAAAAAGTTATGAGATAAATAAATTCATATTATCACAGTTTTGTATTACGAAATGATCTTAGCTAGACCACCAATGAAAATGAGGAAGTAATGGACAGCTGTTTCGTCCTAGTATGGAACTCCTTAGCAATGTGTATCCACGATCGTCCTACAGGGAATTGAACCCCGTGTGCTCAACAGCAAATAGCTTCAAGATATAATTCTTGGGGTTTTGGTGAGAAACTGTGACCAACAGAGTTCAACCAAGTCGCAGGTGGGACAGTTAGAGGAAGATAGTTGTGTAATATTGCGAATCGGTCGAAGTTGGTCATTACTACCGTTGGATGACAGTTTACTGATTTAGAGGTTAAACGTTCGCATGTGAGATCAAAGGTCGTTGATTAGATTCCCTATAATGGAGTGCCTGAATGCGCACTGCTGAGGAGTCCCACACTAGAAGAAAACTGACCAGTAATTTCTTGTTTTCAGTGGCATTTTAGAATTACGAAAACTCTTTCATTTCCACAAGCCTTATGCTGATTAGAATTAAAATTATTCAATATTATTATTATTATTACTTTCATCAATGAGAAAAATTTGTATACCGAATATGCAAATTTAATTATATAAACACTTACCATTTTCTGTTCATTAATTACTGACTCATTTACTAAAGGAGTAATA